AAAAAAAAAAAAAAAAAAAAAAAAAAAAAAGACGGAAATGTCGGCGTATGTTTTGGATCGGCAAAGTACGAAAGTGCCGCAAAAGTACCTGGCCCCTATTCGGCACTCTGGGTTAAGCAGATTAATGAATAATTGTTGAATGAAGACAATACATACTCTGCTGCGAGTTATTTACAAGATAGTGCGTTCTCGCTTGTGGAGGCTCAGGCTGGGCCATGGTACTTCTGCTACGGCATTGAGTCCTCATTACCCGGAGACTTGGTCAAATTCCCATTGACTTGTGTATGTGGAACGGGACCACTCAATTGGATGGTCGGTTAGACATAGTATCTGATGATAGGATAGCGGTTCGTGGCGGTCAAAGGATCTTAGTTAGCTCACTCCTCCTAACGCAGGGGGAGTAAGCACTAAAAAATCTATGAATCATAGCCGCGGCCGAGAAGTGTTAACGAAGGATACCTCATGTAGTAATCGAGTGGCTTTCGAAGGATTTGTTCCACGTGGCAATAGATTTCGTCGAACAAAATAAAAGAAAGGAAAAAATAATAATTCTCATCCTTCTCCCGGAATTTAGGGGGATAGGACCCTTCTAGCTGTCGATCGATTAGGCCAAGACTGGTTCTTCCAGATGAGCAGCTTCTAGAAAGAACAAAATCGGCGTTGTGGTCAACTATTGAACACCTCACCGGATTAGTATTTATGTTTAGAAAATAGGGGAGCCCATAGGACACGTTTCTAGAATTCTGCGTACGATTTAAAAATGCACGACCGAACAAGGTTCCTGCAGGGACATGGCACTGCTACCTGTGGCTCAGGGGTTATTCAGAAAGCATAGGGTAAGAAAGAAGTATACGTCCTACGTACTCTGCTACTCTTCAATACCTATACCAGGATGATTTTAGAGTACACTTTAACAAATCCGTGATTACTTGGGCTATATTCTACATGAACTAAGCTGTCTACTAAGCCAACTACATGATAAGGAAACCCTAACTGCTGCTCCATCCACATCCAAATTACTCTATATAAAAAGTAGTGGATAGTCACATGACCCTACAACAGCTGAGATTCAGAAGTCCATCTAAGTAGGTTAATAAATTATGGAGTAGCAAAACAGTACAAAATATTATCCAACACAGTACTAGTAGCTAGTTAGATCTCGCAGAATGGTAGATACTCGAATGATATGACAGAACTTATATGAAACCCACCAATTTTCCCCAGCGAAGCGCGGCAAACAACATAAGGCCATAACAAAAGCCACTTCCAACGCGAGACAAAGGTTAAAGAACCAATAGGTTGCCAAGCCCAAGAAGAAGCGAGACTGGCTGAAGTATGGCATAAGCGCTACTCCCCCAGCCTTCGCTCCAATCGGCCACCGCTGCAGCTCATACCCCACCTGAAAAAAGCTCCCATAACTGAACCTCATTCTTATCATTTACTCAGCTCGAAAAATCATGATCTTCTAGTATGGCCATCGCCATGAGTATCAAGTAGACAGGGGTCCGCGTTGCGATTAATCCCGAAAAAAAAAATTGCAATCCTATGCCGACTACACGGTGGCATGGGTTTGCACCCTCTCGCTGGAGATGACAGCCGCGATCGCGATGCTCAACGATAAACACCCGCAGCTCCAGAACCCGGTCACAGACTCCAATGCCTACGCGCTTGGAACACCTGCTGGTCACAATGTGGTGATTGCATGCCTTCCGTTCGGCATTTACGGCACTGTCTGTATCCGCCACGGCGGTGATTTCGCACCTGACGTCGACGTTTACCCAGATCCAATATGCCTTGATGGTTGGGATTGGGGGAGGCGTGCCGAGTAAGTTGCTTGATATTCGCCTTGGGGATGTGGTGGTAAGCAAGCCCACAGGGCAGTGGTGCAGTATGATTATGGGGAGACGGTGCGAGGCGGAAGATTCGAGCAAACGGGCATGTTGAATCACCCGCCGCAGCTGTTATTGACGCATATATCTCGATTGGAAGCTGAGCGTCGTGCGACGAAAGATAATAATGGTATTTCTGGCGTCATCGCAAAGGTTTTGGATGAGCGTCCATCTATGATAGATGAGTTTGGGTGTCCCGGTCCGGATTAGGATGTCCTATTCAGCACCGCGTATCATCATACCAGCAGCAATGACAATTGTAACGACTGTGATTCGGCGCAGAAGGTCCAGAGAGATCCACTAGGCTCTCTAGAGCCTCAGGTTTGCTACGGCCTCATTGCCTTGGGTGATAAGGTTATGAAGGACTCGCAGACGCGGGATCGGTTAGCGCATAAAACAGGAGCGATATGTTTTGAGATGGGGACGGCTGGTCTGATGAACCAGCTTCCCTGTTTGGTGATTCGTGGAATCTGTGACTATGCAGATTCCTACAAGAACAGAAAATGGCAAGGGTATGCTGCTCTGACAGCCGCCGTGTACGGAAAATTGCTCTCGTCGGCTGTTGCGAACATGCCTTTGCCTGGAAACATACCACCATCTGGAATGAGTATGCGAGTTTCCTGTGCTCGATCTTCCTTAGCATAGACCCAATCTGACCTATACATGAATATAGAGAAGAACCTAACGCAGGACGAAAAAAATTGCCTGCGAAGCTTGTTCCTCACGGACCCAGTCGAGGATAAGAATGCGCTCAAGCGCAGGAAGGGAGACCAAGCTCCGTACACTTGCCAATGGTTTTTGAAGACTCGAGAACTTCAAGAATGGCTCAAAGCACACCCGATAATTGGCCCCAAAACTGCCGAGAGCAGCGCTCGGCTAGATTTGAACATCTTGTGGCTATACGGGAATCCCGGGACCAGGAAGTTGACTATAGCCATCACTATTGTCGAAGAATTACCAAATGCCCCTTTCTTCGACAAAAACAAGGTCCTTGCCTACTTCTTCTGTGACTCTAGCTCGAGCGATCGGTCAACCGCCCAGGCAGTCCTACGCGGGATACTGTATCAATTGATCAAGAATCGCCCAGGATTGATAGACTTCGTTTTGCCTAAGTTCAAGGAGAGAGGCGAAAAGCTATGGAGTTCGTTCAATGGATTGTAGTCTGTTCTTGTGGACATTGGATCCGACACCTTCTCTGGCGAGAAATATTGCGTTATAGATGCTTTGGATGAATGCGATGCTGAGTCCCAAGAGATTCTGCTCTCCCAAATTCAGCGGACATTCCAAGCATACGGTCCAGACCCTCCTCGTCATCTCCATATCTTAGTTACCAGCAGGCCGTATCCCGAGATTGGTCGGTACCTGAAGAATCAATTCCGTAGCTAGAATCTACTATCATATCCGCAAGTTGCCAAAGACCTTCAGCGCATGACCAAAGCCAAGGTCAAGGAGCTGGGCACGAGGAATCGCTATTCCACCAAGGTCGCGACAGAAGTGTCTTCGATCAAGGAAAGGCCGAAGGCACGTTCTTGTGGGTCGGTATCGTCTGCGAGGACATGTGGCATGTTCGGTCTTGAGACGCTCTTAGGACTCTGCAAAGCTTCCCCAGAGAGCTGCATTCTCTATACCAGAAACTGATAGACTCTGCCCTTTGTCACAACGCCGAAGGCAACAACACAACCCTGCAGATAATGAGCTTCGTGGCCATCTCCCCACAGCCACTGAGTGTGGCATAACTGGCAGTGGCCTGTAACGTGTACCACGGAGAGGATGAAGAAGAGTGGCTCATATTCACTCAAGAGGATGTTGAAATGTGCCGCCTCATAATAATCATCCAAGATGACATCGTTCGGCTACTGCACAAGTCGGTCAGGGACTTCCTCCTCCGAGAGGGAGCCCAGAGAAGCTGCCTTATCAATGAGCTGAAAGTCCACACCACTTTAGCATATCGTTGCTTCGATCACTGGCTGGAGTAGTACCACTTACTAGGCCCAGATCTACTGCTAGATCGTAACTTCCCGTTTTTGGAATATGCGGTTCGATACTGTTTCGTACATACCGCTGCAGCCAAACATGAGTTCTGGGTGAGAAAGGAGCATGAGCGGCTCTTCAGGGTTTAATCAAGCAAAAGGGATAGACCCTTAAAGTTACTGTACCTCTATGCCGGGCAAAATTTGCCCATTCGTCATATGCCTATCCATCTCGAGAGATTCTCTATATTCCACTTTGCAGCAGTATTCGGAGTGGAATGCCTCCTGCTATTTGCATTAGCAGATTTGCAACGGAGTCACTGGGTGGGAAGATTATTCAGACGCAATGAGGCCCGATTTAATAATAAGAATTATGAAATGGACGACGGCACTACCCCTTTGCAGGTAGCTGCGTCAACCGGGAATCTAAATATAGTGACCGTGCTGTTGTAGAGAGGCGTTCCCAACATGTGGATACGTACGGATGTCCTACAAGCTGCAGCGGAGAACATAAGACCACGCGACGGAGATGTTGAGTTTCCTGCTTGACCACGAAACAATAATATTCAGATACCTGAGAGTGTTCTTGAGACCGCCGCTAAGAACCCAGTATGTGGGAGAGACGTGGTGGCGGTAATCCTCCATCGGAGAGGCTATATTAACATCACCGAGAGTGCGCTCAAAGCTGCTGCACAAAATCGAGGCCAAGAAGGAGAGGTGGTTTCTCTGCTTTTAGACCACCGAGAATCTGAGCTCGAAATTACAGAAGATGTGTTGCTAAAAGCTACTGTTAACGACCCTGGAAATACCAAGGAGGTCATGATGATTCTCCTTGAGCGCCACCGTGGAAGACTGCATTTGAGTGACAACATTGTCGAAAAAGTATGACGATATCTTGATTCAGATGTCTTAAATGCCGTTTTAGACCATATCAAGGACCCGATAACGCTCAACAGCTCTCTCCTTACGGAAACTTCGTACAATGCTCTCAGTGGCGGAGAGGTCATGGAAGTCCTTCTGAAACGATGTAGTAGTCCAGAATATATAACTGCGAACCTTTTGATAAACTTCAGCACATACGGTGAGGTTAACAATTTCCTCTTGGAACACCGACGTGGCCAGATTGAGATGACTGAGGATATTATTTCGGACGTCGTACAAAACGTTCTGCACGGCGAAAGTGTTATGTTGGCCCTCCTGAGACGATGCAGGAATCCACTTGAAGAGTCCCAGGTGATTGAGATTGCTGAGAAATTTGAGGCCGGGGTCATAAAACTTTTACTGGAGCAGGACGAGCATAGTCGGATGGCGAAAACAATCATCCCAGCTATAGCAGATACGTGGATGGACAGGAAGAAAGTGGCGTTGGGCGTTCTACAAATCTAGAAGAAGGAAATCAACAGCGGTGGTGTGCTAATTGTTTTTATTTGCGAAAAGTTTAATTCCGACGTTGTTCAGCTTGCTCTTGCTCGCCAATCGCAGTTTGAAAGCACAGACTCAATAATCATGGCTACTAGAAGGAATGAGCGGGGCGGGACAGAGGTGATGATAACAATATTGGGGCAAGACAATCATATTGACCTCGGAGAAATCGCCATGGTATGTCGTCATTTCAACTCCGAGGTCGTTTCAGTTTTACGAGCCCGGCAACCCCATATGCAGCTTACAGAAGCTGTGGTAACTGCAGTATCACTGAACAAAGTGCATGAGAGTCTAGTGATGGAAGTTCTCCTGCGTCAAGGTGAAAGGTAGAGATCAGTTAGGGTTCAGTTGCGGGCTAATCATTTCAACGAAGAAACATCCCCCACAGCCACTTCTGCTGCGGTTGTCCCGAGGCTGACTTGCTTTAATACTCCAAGATGAGCCTGGATTATATAGATAGATTGGGAGTAAGTGCGAAACACTCTGCAGACATCACATCCGCCAAAGTAGAGAATTTCAACGGTCCCACCATGCACAGCCTACTGCGTACTCCCAAGGGAGTCAATCAGCAGTCATCCCCAGTGTTGGTTGAACCGATCTCTTCCAGCAGTGTCGGTAGAAGTCGCCGATCCCCCCGATGTCTTGCCCGATCGGGTAATTCCAGGTCACGGCAACAGAATTGCCCTTATTCCCCCCTCCCTTGGACTCACGCGAAGATATAACATAAACGTCAGCCTCCTCTGTCTCAATTGAGATCCAGATACGAAAATATCAACTCAAGTCTTAATGACTCCGTCAATATCGAAGATCCCCGCTCTCGCACTCTCCCTCTATGCTAGCCACACTCTGGCCGAGCCCTGGAAAGCCATCGATGCAGATTTCGCCGATCCCGGCGGCATAAAGACCGACGGCGACTAGTACGCCTTCGCGACATCGGCCAACGGCGTTAATGCACAGATAGTGCATTCCGACGATTTCACAACCTGGGACGTCTTGGACGGTCAAGACGCGCTGCCGGGTCCTTTTCCCAGCTAGGTGGAAAATGCTAAACTCCCGGCAGTCTGGGCGCCGGACGTGATTCAGCGGGTCAGTTTACACACGTCTCTTCAGTCAGTCACAGGAGTATTGCTTCAAACCGAATATGACCGGACGACAGAACATTCGTCATGTACTACTCCGCCTCGACGAGCGAAGACGAGAGCACACATTGCATTGGCGTTGCAACGTCGTCCTCAGTCACCGGTCCCTACACTCCCGAGCAGGACGTTCTGGCCTGTGACATCAACAGAGGCGCGAATCTTACGCAAAGCTTCTAACTTTTAAATGGTATTTAAGACATCCTAGATGTTTCCATGTACTCTAAACATAAATTATCTACTGGTAGACATGTATTCTTGAGGTTTAGTTAGAGGCTTAACAGTTCCTACATACTAGCATAAGGACTCCCCCAAACCTTGAATCAAAGGCTAAACTTTCTAACAAACGATGCCGAGGAGAAAGCAAAAGGTTAGGGATATAAAGCGCAGAAGACTGGAGCTCTTAATAAGCTGGAGGACTGCAACATCATGCCGTGTTTTCCCCATCTTCCTCGCGTTCTCATAGCTACGGCAAAATTGGGAACGTATCGCGCTACGTACGGCTTGCTTATCGAGACATTTATACCCCGGAGTTCCCGCTGTTCTCTTATGGGTTTTGAGAGTGTGTTGCCAAAGTTACGGACGAACTAACGTTGCTCAAAATTTGATCATCACCCAGCCGCGTGACGTGGACTATCACGGTCCAATCTAAACCTGCGACCTAATACTTTGAGAAAAATTGGATGGTCTAGTATATGTAGGAGATATACGGTGTCATATTTCAGCTGAAAATAGGGCTAGTATAGAACGCCAACGGCGTTCTACCGCTAAAAGCGTCGTGAGGAGAATAGAGCTCTTATAAGCCGGCTAAGCCAAAACCTCGATGAGACCCCAACGCGGGCTTTATCGAGCCGAGAAAACAGGGCATCTGAAATCTTTTTATATATATTTGCATGGTGAATCTAATATGGCTTCATCTTGATCAAAATAGGCAATTTTTTAGTGTTTTTATTGAACTGTATAGAAATTTTTCATTGAGCTGGGAATTCCATTGAGCTGTAGCCGACCCCCAACTTACCTACTGTAGGGGGTCGGAGGTGAGACGGATAAAGAATTCTTTCCAACAGCGGACTACAGGTTTATTCTAAATACTTTCTGTCTTCAAAATGAATAGAGATGGAAAATTTATTTTTAGTCTAAAGGCTTATAATTCAAGATACTATTTAGCTTTTACTGTAGAGTAGGAATCCCTTAGCTAGTAATACTGTAAAGAAAAAAGTCAGATGAAGGTAGTAAATTAGTAGATTAATTGGAAGAATAGAACTAATATGATATGACTGACTTTGCTGACTGCTTAGATGGGTTGCTACTGGCAATTATCATCGCCGGTGCATTTATGCATGAGATGGGAACCGGCATCAAGGAGTGCCTACAATAATATAGAAATGAAGAAGGGAACGCAGGACAGAACATGCGTGTCTACTGTAGAAAGAACAACGATTGATAAGCAAGATAGGTCCTATGAAGGAGCAAACCCCAGCGACTCTGCACCCGATGGGGGTCGGAGGTATGATGCTGAATCTCCGTCGTAAGCAACAGTGACACTTCACACCGCATAATCCTGACCATTATTTACATACAACGTCTAGAAGATGGCAAAGCTTCTCGATATGTATTTGACAAAAACGGTGCTCCGATCAAGGAATTCACTTTTCCCGAAAACGCATTATGCACATTTTATTTTAACTTTAACCATTCTAGAAATGTGGAAAAAGGTTGGACCATCGGGGAGTAGAGTATGCGCCTGCCGGCAAGCTTCTCACACTAAGGAAAGCTTCAAGCGTGAGATACCCAATGCAAAGCAAGTAACCCAACACGGCCCAGAGGCATTATTCCAACAACCAAGAACCGAGACCAGATGGGGAGCCCTGCTGGCCATTTGTTTGAATGCTTGCTTGAATGCTCGTCCGGTGCATCTTCTATCTCGTCTCCCTCTGCGGCACACCGAAGCATTGTAACTATAGCTTTCGACCAGTAGGTTACCATATGGCCGTCTGCAAACCGCAGATCATAGACCCCTCGCATAACGTACTGTTCTATATCCTTCTCCCAAACGGCCAAGCATAAAGCTAGGGGAAATGCCCCTAGGCCGAGAGCTGATATACGCCAAAGAAGGCGCTCTGTGGAAGTAGGAAAGTGTGAATTCCACACTGTAGCGTGAAGGACACCGTTAATGATCGCCATAATCGTGGCCCAGACATGTATGTTGCTGGGATAGTTCGCTCCAATGTCATATGCTGCACGAGCTGACATACGCAAAAACTCACATCGGTCTCTTCTCTCAGTAATGAAATATTGCTTCCGAAAGTAACCAGTACCTTCTGCATTGACATCATGTCCCAAGAGCGACAACAAGTTTGAATCCAATGAAAGAGCAATAGGTTCCCCAATGTCTAGTGGTTTCTCCCACCAGCAGAAATATGCTATGACCGAATACAAGATTTGGATTAGGATATGGGCCTCAAGTAATGTTACCGGTAGGCCTGTAGCCTTTCGGCCAATACATTGTACAACCATCCACAAGATCTGAATAGCGACAACGAGTTTTGCAATGTCACTAGCCTTGCCCTTGTCCTCAATGTTCTGGTGGCCAAGTTGTGCTTGGGTAAGAACCTTTTTCCTGATAAGGTCCTTGAAAGTCTCGTGCTCCAGTAATTTTTCAAATCCTGATGGGCGAATAGTTGTAACAAGGTCGAGTCCTTCGCTTTGCTCATTCACTTTCACCACGAACCCCCCCATAACAGCAAAGAATGCTCCAGACGTTTGGAGCCAATCCTGATATTCGGGTTGATTCTCCCAAGCGCTCCGCCAAGCGCCGCATATCTTCCTTGCTCGTATTCGTTGAGCTACAGCAAAATATAACACAAACTCCGGAACCAGTGCAGCAAATAGCATCAGTGACAGTTTATAATAGACTCTCGCCCGACGTTGCTTCACAGGAACAACGTCAGAATGAACTGCTGTCCATATACAGAGGCCGAACGTGCTTGTACAGCTCAAGAGCAGTCCCATAGTACCCCGCTGGCTAGGTTCTGACACGTAAGAGGGCTCGACCTGGTTAACAGGGGCCGATAGAGCGGGAAGAAAAAATAAAGCTGATGGAAAAAGCAGCATGAGCTGGAAAATATCCATAGTTATTTATTCTGTTATGTCGAGTCTTAATAAAGGCCGTGCTCATGTTTTCTGTCTCCTTCATAGCAGGCTTCATCATGATGATGGTGTGCCTCATATCCCGTTTTAAATGTTGTGAATTGACCTGGGCTCACACAGTACTTTACATGTCAGAAAAACAAATGTTCCTGGGAACATTCTCTAACCGATCAGACACGATTATATTGTAAGGCTGTCGATAAGTACTCAGCCGTACTACGTGTTCTATCTGTATTTGTCAGCTGGACAGACCTGCTTCTTCGATCATGCAATAATCATTCCATTTGTGGGTTCTGAGTCGTCTCTTGAACTTCAGCCGCTGCAAAGCTATCAGGTTTAACGTAAAACCACGAAATACTACTGCGGGTTACAGCTCTGGATTGGACATTGATGTCTTGATGATCAGCGTAACAGTACCCTATTTTTCAAGGCAGTAGTGGCACAAGCTCAGGATTATTTTACCTAATGGCATCCCAGGTTCGCGTATCCAGGGAGACAGATCATTTATTGTTAATTGTGTCTCGATCAGGTAAGCTAGAGAGGTTGTTCTTGTAACTAATCCTTCAAATGTATAGAAGAGAATAGTAAATAGTAATCTTCCGCCGAGCTGCAACGAAGTTAAGTGAAAAGCAACTCTTGCGGTATATGAGGATACGAGCCTGTCCATAGTGAACAGGGTTTTAAACTCACAATCCACCTGCTTAATTTGCCCCCCTTCCCGGCAGACCCAACTCAAAGATAAGTGATCGTCGCCCCGCCTGAGGGATTGGATAGATCATTCAGCCTGTCACAAATATGTATATAATAAAAGCACTTGTTACATATCACAGACATAGGTTACTCTGTAGTTGAGGACAAACTACACCGCAATCAGGTCCTGTGAAACAATTCTCGGAACTACCTTTACCGAAACACAGTCCTTATACTATAAGATGTTTTTCACTTTCAATTATTGGAGGCCACGGCACATGACAACCCATCACTGTTATTTTCAGAGCGGATCTTGTCACTTCCCCTAGTTGGCTCTTTCACTGTGCACTGACTTCAACATTACTTCTTCTTCAGTTCAACTACATTCCTCCAGGAATACATATTGTCCCGGTTCGTCATTTGCTGCTTCCTGGCTGGTTGCCCTAGATGTCAACAACAATATTCTAGCTATTAGTGGCGGTTCCGATCACCCACCGGCGAAAGGCGGTGGGTGGTCGGCAGCATAAAGGAATTTTCAGCGTAAAGGAAGAAAATGAAGCAATTCGCATTATTACCACTAAACGCCTGTAGAATCAATAAAATAAAGTTGATTTCCTGATTCCTCTGCCGATCCTGTACCTGAGACTGCAGATTTATTTTCTGTATAGGGTGCTGGTAGAGAGTGACTGTATGCCTTTAAATATGCCTTATTCGCTGCTTTCTTATTTTTTTCATTATCTTTGGCCTTCCTGTCCGTAATAGACCGATTTATATCCTTTACGGGTAGTGTACCACTATCCCCGAGGTGTTAAATCTCTTGCTTAGTCTTTTTATGCCTTCAGGATGCCTATGCGGTCTCAATTTGCTCAAGAGTTAAATTCATGACAGTAAGCTACTCAGACAGAAGTTTTTACTGATAAAATAAGCGCTTAAGATAGCACTCAATGTGAGAATCAATTGGTATATCACTATTTAGAAGTTTAAATAGTTTTTCCTGATTCTTTTTAACTTGCTGAGCGCTTTTTAGAGGTGTATTTTTAACACTTGAAGATAAAGAATTCAGAGGAGGTATATTCTTACTATATATATAAAGATCAGGTATAGAGATCTCTGGTAGCAGTGGTAAAGTATTTTAAATAGCTTCAATAATTAAAGATCCATCTATAGAGAAGATATCGCGTTCTGAAGTTATAAATAAGATATGAATTAAAGATCTTCTCATGTACAGTAACAATATTATATAGAAAATTAGCTTTATCTCCCGGAACTCCACACCACTGCGTGATAAGGTTATTTACACTATAAAAATATGTTTTATATGTGAGAAAGGGCTTTCTATCAAGTGATTAGCAGAGATAAGTTATATAAGGCCAGAAGTAAAAGAGAAGAATCTTATAGGTCTTATAGAGTTAAAGAAATTTAACTATTTTATAAGCTATATAGCTGTTAAAGATAAGGATATAATTTTCTTCTTTTTTGTATAATCTTTAGTCTTCTCATGGAATTTTTAAAGCTATTCAAGTATGATTTTATTCCTTATATAGCCTTTATTAGTAACTGCAGTATAATAATTAGGAATTCGCTTTATTATTGTACCAGGCCTCCATAAATTTCTTTCCTTTGAAGATAAAGAGCAGCGTCATAATCCAGCTATCTACAGTAATACACTCAAGTGTAGTAATATTCTCTGTATACTTAGCTTGAGAAAGATCAGGAACTCTTTCCTTTGTACTGAGCACTTTTTAAAGCTTTTCACTGCCTGGTTAAAAACCACATTCATTAAAATTATAAACAAGGCAAGCAGGGATATCTTTAAGCAGATTAGCAAGCTGATTATACCAAAACTGAAGCTGTCTAATATTCTCTATATCCAAGTGCTTCTTCTCCTTTGTCCTTTAAATTACAGGGCCCAAATTAAGATCAGGAGGAAGCCTTTTAGCAAAGTAATATATCTATAATCAGGTGACACTGTGTAGGATCAACGCGCTATACAGTAAGGTTTGCCTATTCTAAAAGCAATAAGATAGTTACGGGGAGGTGGATATCATATATTTTAGTAATCCACTGTTTTAAAGCAGCTTCTTGATACTGATTCAGTACTTTATTTAGTGCATTTTGAGCTGTATAAGACTTTCTTCTATCATGGATGCAGCTGTGGAGTATGTAATAAGGAACCCCAAATTCTTGTGTGATCTTTATAATATTCAGTTTTTTTTTGGAGACAGGCGGCTTGAGCGGCTTCATTTACGCGTATATATAAAATTTCAGATAATTTAGGCATTTTTTATGGTTTATATAGCTTCAAAAATGTAGGAAATTGATTATCTTCCTTTACGCTGAAAATTCCTTTACGCTGCCGACCACCCACCGGCGAAGGGCGTTGGGTGATCGGAGCCGCCACTAATATGACTATTGTTCCCAAGTATTGTGACTACCTTGGTGAGCTGAATAACTGTTCTTCGGGTCTAGTTTAGGAAGCATAAGGCCCCCCACGCGTTGGGGGTCAACGTTCCTTGGGGCTGCGGGCGTAAACCCAAAATACAGCCAATAAAAAAGTTATCGTTAATTCTCCTTGTTTTAGTTTTTAGCTTGGGATGCATTACTTGGTTGTAATGATGGCCGGGCCTCAGACACTAGGGTTGCCAATTTCTGACGGAAGAAAACCCATGGCAGTCACTTCTTGCCAGCAGTCAGAGGCGTATAAAGTGCAACCCAGGAAAAGCCCAAAAACAATGTTTGGCAAAGCTAGACACGGTCAAAAAACATGCGGCGGGTGAAGACATCTTATAACATTATGAGTCTCGGAATGTGGGTATTCCGAGAATAAATCTCACCACGCTCACAATTCACAACTAAAAAGAAAGAGAAGAGCAAATAAATGAGATATATTAATCCAAGTCGAGACGGATTGCCCTATAAATGGAATCTGGCAGATCCTTAATGGTTCTAGAATTGTGTTGCTGCAGGCCCCTTTGAGCTCTCGTATCAAGTTAGGGCTGCCAACCACGTGGAAGTCAAGATAGCGCGGAAGATATAGTGATAGGAAGTGGATTGCGACTGCTCCTTGTACACCCAGTTGACCTTATACGGGATATTAGAGGATAAGAAAGACTCTAGGCGTCCTAGCCTTTTATTCCCTGGCTGGTAGTTATATCTGAGGTATTTGTTCAGGTGTTTGAAGAGGTGATATGTTTATGTGCAACCGTCCCTTGCGACGTCATATCATTATATATGAACCCTTGGAAACCATGCCGAATCATGTGCTGAGTCTACATAGCTTCATACTTTTATCTCCATGTTGTAGCCATTAGGTATTATGTCTCCACTTCCGTCCATCAACCAAAGCACTTAGTCCTCTATGCATCCTGATTTCTCCTCATGTAATGATGGAACAAACCTTCGATATCATCTTACCACTTGTCTATGGAAACGAATCATATTCCATAAATAGAGCGAGACAAAGCAGTTATACTGCGGTCCTAGTTCCGTCGTATAGCCTTAAAGTAATATCAATCATGCGATCTGGGGGTCCGAGGCGTGTGCGATATTCCATTTAGCGTGTCACTCATTAATCCAAGCTGGCTACTCTGCCTTCAAACACTAACCTGGTTCCCGTACAAGGCCACGGCCCTAAGTGTGTCAGAGAATTAGACGGGACCGGTGCTTCATAAGCAGATTTTATGTCACGATCAGTACGCGAACAAGAAACGGGTTAAGAGATCAGGGTACAAGCAATAATGGAATCCAGGACCTTAAAATCCTCATTAGACCATAGTTAGAATGGTAATGCCACTCCTAACTTCTGACAATAAGCTCCAAATGCAGGCCTGCCCTAACCGGACATGCTATTGGAAGAGTAAGTAGCAGAATTCCCTCGATAGTATTATATTAAGTAGTGTTATGAATTACAAATATACTGCTAAACGGGTACAAATGACAGTAAAACAAGAAGCATTTGCTACTATCATCTAGATAGCGAAGAAATACTGGGTGGGAATAGGTTATCACTCTCGGCCGAGATATCCTCGGCTTGCCGACAACGGGTAGAGTCACGACCAACTGGCATACCGAGACCCGAGCGGCTGGCTCCATATGGCTGGCGATATAAAATCCGAAACTTCACCCCAACGTAGGTTGGCTCGTCCTAGTGGCCTACAGATGGCATTTTTTAGGCTGAGGATCTCTGGCACATGGTTTATCATTTATAAGGGGACACGTATAACATCAATCAGAACTCTTCTACTTCATTCATACCCGGGTCAATGGCTCTACTATATCTCGATTTATTTCTATTATCCGAATGCTGCGATATTCCCCCTCTGCACTCGCAGCTCCCTTATTATGATATATACTGTATCCTGAAATGTTGACGCTCATACTTCCGGATCCAATTATGTCCCCATTTCCCGGTGCGGTGATGATGGCACTCGCCACATTGAGATGTGGGTCTTATCTCTGCACGTACTACTCCTATTTCTGGGTAGGCTCAGACTACCCACAGACCCCACCCAGCATTGTTGCGCCGAATTATCAATGCGGTAGTCGCCATTAATGATCACACCTTACATTGCCCAATATGGGCAGGTTTTCCAGAGAATCTCATTGAAACCCAAACCGCGCTCACAGCGAGCAACAACATAGCACCTCAAAATGCCGCCTGAAATCTCTGGACATAGTCACAGCGATTCAGCGCTTGCACAATTATTGCCTTTAGTAGAGGACCAGAAGTTCCTGAAGACCTTGCAAACCTGAGCCGCGCTGCCGCAACACTACTCGCATGTTATGTCCTCTGAGGAATGTCTACCCGTCTCACAATTCTGTTCATAGCTCATTTACAATCTACTGCCACGCGAGAACATCGTCACGTGTATGCTCCCCTGTTGGTTGGGGTTTAGTGGTAGAATGTTCCCCACGAATGCATCTGTAGATATGGTTGGCGAGCATCCGACCCCCACTCACCGTTCTTGTTCAGCCACTAGACCCCAGAATCAAGTTGGTAGAGGTGTACGAGGTTACATCGGGCTCCCCCCGAGACATGCGCTATGGCGCAATCTATGCTATCTGGTACGAATGGGGTAGTTGTGATAGTCAGCCGGCGACACCAATTTAGTGGCGACTAGTGCTTAGCTGCGACTAAGGCGACTTGGGCTAGTAAGCTTATCTGAGCCCTCGTCGTGATAGGCCGCGCATGCTATCTTTGGTCTGGTTAATATCCCCTATCGGCTGGTCCGTCTTTCTTTGCTGCTTCCATTCGCTGAGGCTTGATTTCGTGCTTGCATACAGAGTACTCGTGATAACAAGGGTTACATCTGGCACGACAAGCGACGGCCCCTGACCCCAAGCACCAAATGGTATTTAAACTGACAAGTTGGCGACGATCTGTTCCCAACTCGGCAGCCTTCCCAACTTTCTCTGGCCTTTTTTCTCTTCCTTGCTGTCTCTTCCCCTCCCAAGTGTATGTAGGGGACCCTCCACGATGGGTGAGTTTACCTTCGGAGTTCTCTTTCGTGGTGCGAGGCTAACAACGTAGCCAGCTTCTACAGTGCCTGTGTACGAGGAAAAGGCCAATGTGCCTGCCATAGAGGAGGCCTCGCGCTCAGTGGGTGAGTATGGTGAAGAGACGCCCACCGATGAAGAGCTGGAGACCCTGCGTCGCGTGCCGGGCAAACTCCCCATCGTCGCCTATCTCATCTGCGCCGTCGAGTTCTCCGAGCGAGCCTCGTACTACGGTGTTTCCGGTCTTATCTCCAACTTCGTAAATCGTCCACTGCCTGCCGGGGGCAATGGCTACGGTGCGCCTCCGCGAGGGACACAGCAGACGGCCGGCGCCTTGGGCATGGGCACCGTAAAGGCCAACGCGGTAAACCAGTCCTTCAGCATGCTGGCGTATCTCCTGCCCATGCTGTTCGGGTATCTGGCCGATGCCCATACTGGTCGCTTCAAGATGATCTTCTGGGGTGTCTTTGTGTTTGGTATTGCCCACGTCCTGATGGTCGGAGCGACTGCGCCAAACCTGCTCGCGAATGGGGGGGCCAAAGTGCCATATTTCCTTTCATTATATATTCTATCGGTCGGTGCTGGTAGGTTCGACTTCCGATCGCAGTGATGATAAGTGAGTGTTAATGAGCGCAGCCATGTTTAAGCCTAATGTCTCCCCCCTCCTGCTCGACCAGATGCCCAGCACTAGGGCGAAGACCAAGGTGCTGTCGAGTGGCGAGAAGGTCATTGTCGACCCCGAAGTCACGACAGAGCGCGCCATGCTCTGGTTCTACCTGCTCATCAACATTGGCGGCTTCATGCAGGTCGCCACCTCCTACGCGGAGAAGTACGTCGGATGGTGGTTAGCATTTATCCTGCCATTGTTCTTGTATCTTCCGCTCCCTGCTCTCTTGGTATGTCCTGAGTAACAATGGAACGGTGGCCGACACTAATCTTGTACTAGCTGTGGCTTCGGAAACGTCTCGTTCTGCACCCTCCTGGTGGTAGTGACCTGCCCAATGTCGTTCGCGTCGTAGGCATCTGTCTTAGCCGAGGTGGCATCTTCCGCATTGGACGTCATGGCTTCTGGGACGCAGCCAAGCCTTCCGTGATCGCAGCAAAGGGGCAGAACATTCAGACGCAATGGAACGATCAGTTCGTCGAGGATGTCCGCCGCACCTTTCAAGCGACGGGAATCTTCTGCTTCTTCCCCATCCAGTACATCAACGACAATGGGTTGGGTAATGCGGCGAGCTTCCTGTCAACGATGCTGACGACCAATGGCGTCCCCAACGATGTCATCAGTAACTTCAACTCGCTCAGTATTATCTGCTTCGCCCCGATCCTCAACTACCTTTTCTATCCGCTCCTCCGTCGCCTCCACATCCGCTATGGCCCGGTCGCCCGGATCACTACGGGATTGGCCATGTCTTCGATCGGCGGCGTTGGCTACACCGTTCTTAACTACTATGCCTACAAGCTCGGTCCGTGTGGCAAGTACGGTTCCTCGGACTCTTGCATCGATGCTGACGGAGTTTCGCTGGTCGCTCCGATTACCATTTGGGTACGTATTTCGTTGTATTTCTCAGCCCTCTGGTCTTTTATAACACACACAAAGGAGGGATGGATCGCTAAACGAATAATCAGTGGATGGCCATCCCCTATGCGCTCGGTGGCATCTCCGAGCTCTTCGTCAACGTGCCGGCCTACGGCATCGCCTACTCGCGCGCTCCCAGGAACATGCGGGGCTTGGTTTCAGCCATCAACCTACTGAACACTGCGGTGGCTTACGCCATCGGTCTCGCCTGCTCTGCGGTGGTCAAGGACCCATACCTGACCTGGGACTTCGGCGGTCCCTCGATTGTGGGTGGCGTTCTCACCGTGATATTCTACTTCATGTTCCGCCACATTGACAAGGAAGAATACACGCTGAGCGAGAATGCCGATACCACTCTCGAGCTCGAGGGGACTGCCAACGTGTTCACGGAAAACTCGCATAACAAGACCACAAACCCCACGCCTGCCATTGCGGAGAACGAAGAGTTTGGTATCTCCCCCAAACAGTAAAGTGGAAACTCAATCATCGGCAGGTTTTATGCCTAGGCTGCGATCTGATAGAGAGATACAGGTTGTGTAGTTAAGCTGTAAACAAAGTAAATAGTTGTAAATAGTTGGCGAGTCAGCCGGGCATATCCTATGATTCTGTACATATTGTACTTACACCTTGGAAGAAAAACAAAAAAATATTTTTATATATACACAGTGAAGAAAAATACGACATCTAACTCGTTACCCATACTCTTGACGTATTACGTATCCTAAACCGCTGTAATATACTCGCCGGACTGAATACTTCAATTGCTTTTCATTCTGCTCTGATCTATACCATGCCTTGTCCTTACTTTTTCATATGCATCGATTCGATACATGTTTTTCTTAAATTCACAATGCCTGCTACCCTTCCAGTTGTCTCCCCAGGCAAAGCGTCCAATGTATTTGTTCCCAAATGATAAACCCAGAGATTCGCAAGATACATTGGAGTGGAGACCAAAGACAACCGATTGGCCAAGGATCTTAAATTTCGATAAGAGAGAACCTAATTTGTAGCCGTAATTACTGATATTTAAGGTAGAACGCGCAATCTCCGACGGACTTCCGAACGGCCTCATCTACCAATGGCCTAAGAGACACTTTGGACCAATTTTTTCTACTAGGCGGCTAACCGTACCTCTGTAAGGACTCTCAGTATCATGTGTATTCGTAAGAAGGAAGGTCCATAATACCTAGTAAATACATGTGGAGCCGGAAAACCTGCTCATGTGACAACCTCTGCCCTTTTTCATCAGCAGGATCACGTGCAGGTCCGGATATTTTATGCTTATTTCTAGGTTACTAAGTAACATAACCAAAGGTCCTAACCAGCTTTTCTCAAGTTTTGGGTTGCCGCCGCTGTATCTGGCCTCATCGACGACAATGGCACAGTTCTAACACCTAGGAAGCAAAAGATGGCTTATACCGCGATGGCAGCGCTTTCCGCACGAGGGCTTCCCAGGCGCCTAGTGAATTTCATCCACACGCCCGATACCCACGGGTGGCTTGAGGTTGAGGGTCATATGAATGAACCCGAAGGCTAGGGTATTTTCTGCGTCCTTCATCAAGCGCATGCGCGATCAGGGTGATCACTTGAAGCTCGATCTTCTAGTTGTCGATACAGGCTTGGAGACCTTTCTCTGGGTAGAATTTTGGACCTGGCTAATCTCCAACTTCTAACCGTTGTGGATAGTTGTTGGCCACCAAGTTTGCGGCGCATAGAGTTTGATTGATGGAATCTCAGTTATTAGCTCAACATATCAGACGGCACGGACGCGGATCAGGACTAGATCAGTATTAACCACACGCAAAGTGTTCAATATATACTTTGTTACCTGTCGCAGCGGAACGACTTTATGAACCCATCGTAGAACCCATGTCTTAATTCACGAGCGAACTTTCCAGATCCCCATACTCTCTCGTAAAATCATAAAGTGAACACTATAGGTAGAGACATCGTATGAGCGCCATTCATAACTTGGCTAAGACGGGTTCTTACGTACAAGAATCACTGAAGTGAGAATTGCGTTGGTCTTGTTACTGCATACTGCAATCCAAACGGGGGCCCCCGATAGATCAGCTTGAGAAAAAGAAGTAGTCGCTGTTGCTTCCGGCGGATGCTGTCTGTCTTCCGGCGGCGGGAAGGTTCCGGCGGAGGAAACCTGTATAACACGCTCGGGACCCAGAAAAGGTTTCACGGGGAGAGAACACTATTTTTCCTTTCCCACTTTTCCTAATCTGGGGCGCAGGACACAGCTATTGGCTCATTGCCTGTAAAATCCCCATGGGGCTTTTTTTTCCATGCACGAGACTAGCCCTATGCCATGACTCTGTCCACCTTTCCTCGAATCGTGGAGAAAGCTCTATGTTTCCCCATGGGATGACTTTCTGGGGTAGAAATAGAGGCCATGCCACCGGATATGATCATCTGAATATTACCGACACCGAGCAGATATCTAGATAGGAACTCACGGGCTTGCTCTTATTGACATTTGTGTTCTCACAACATGGCAGTTGAGAAACCGTCTGCACCGGGGCACAATGCCCTCATCAACAGCCGAGCGGAGGCTGTGGCCGTACAGGTCATGGAGCAACAAGGCTGGCTAGAGAGAAAGCTGAAACCAAAGAAAATCACAGCTCGATATCCATTCAAAGGATCGCCATTGCTATATGCGACATGCGCGTTTGGTAGTCTGGGAGATGCCCTGTTCGGGTACAATTCTGGTAAATGACACCGACGATGTGTGACACCTGAACATGGGGACTCATGCTAATACACGCAGGAATTATGTCTGGTCTGCTGGTGAACCCTGTTTTTGTGTCGCGCTTCTTCAAGGACTATGGCGGCGCAGACGGCACAACATCCGCAGTGAATCCCTCCATTACCGGTATATCGGTCGCCTGTCTACAAGCATCAGCAGCGGTGGGCGCATTGATCGCAGGCAGACTCGGGGACATGATCGGGCGCAAGAAGTGTGTCCGCCTCGGTGGCTTCATCTACTTCTTCAGCGCATTCATCCAAATGTTCGCACCAGGATTTGCAACATTTATCGCTGGTCGCACCATCCAGGGGCTGGGAGTCGGATTCCTTTCGATGACTGTGCCCATCATCCAGACGGAGATTGCCGCACCGCATGCCCGTGGTCTGATGGTAGGGATAGAGTATACCTTCCTAATTGCCGGATACATGCTGTCGTGCTGGGTGGACTATGGATTCCATTTCCTCCTGCCGAGTGCGATGTCGTGGCAAGGGCCGTTCATCGTTCAAATCATCCTCTCGTTCATCCTCTTAGCCATGTCCTTCTTTCTCCCGGAGACTCCTCGTTGGCTGGCTAAAAATGGCTTCATGCAAGAAAGTTTGCAGACTGTGGCCGACCTTCACGCCAACGGTGATACCGAGGCAGAGCACGTACAACAGGTCTTCACTGAAATCCAGGAAGCCGTCATCTACGAAACCAACCTGGGGAAGTCAAGTTGGAAGGTACGCAGCGACCCCTGCCCTGTGATGCATCGGGTTAGAAAGATGACTGATACAATGCATAGGAGATGTTTACGAGATATCGGAAGAGAACCATTGTCGGTATCACAGTGCAAATGTTCGCTCAGCTCAACGGAATCAACATCATCTCGTTTTACCTTCCCAGCACTCTCGCATCCGCAGGCTTCGACGAGAGGAAATCCCTGCTGTTCACCGCCGCCAACGCACTCCCTTATACTGCGGCCACCGTTGCAACCTGGTGGTTAGCTGATCGATGGGGTCGAAAGCCGTTACTGATTCTTGGTGGTATGTCAGGTCCCAGTACATCATAGATATTCAGACCTGACTCTTGTGGCCAACTAAACTAACCCTCCCAGGCCTCGGAATGGCAGTCCTGCTCAGCATTGTCTGTGCCTTCACCCAGGCAAACCTGGACATTCACGTCAAGGCCAACGGCCAGTACGCCTTTGTTATGCTCTACAATATCGTGTACGGTTTCACCTGGGGGCCAATGCCGTGGCTTCTGCCCGCTGAAATCTTCCCTCTTCGTGGCCGCAGTAAAGGAATGGCGCTTGCTACCACCAGCAATTGGATCTTCAACTTCATCATCGGGATGGTATCCCCCGACGCGTTCGCAGGCATCCATGGGTACTTCTACCTGGTCATCGCGGGGTTTTGTCTGTTTTCCGCCGGATTGGTCCATTTTTATTATTTGGAGACCGCCAATCATACCCTGGAGGAGATTGCGGTATTGTTCGGCGACCAGGCTTTTGCAGATGGGGAGGGAGAAGCCATGGATGCGGCTAATTTGTGGACGGACCATGGCAAGGAGCGTGTATGATACATGTTCTTACCTTCAGCAAACCATCTAGAAGCGCTTGAGATGTTGAGGAAGAGTCAAAGAGTCGTTGCCGTCTAGTGAACGATGGAGAGCTGAAGTGGGAAAGGAGTTATCGGGAATTTTGAAGTACAGTACCAGCCTTAGTGTCTCATAATAATGGCGCAGAATAAATTTAAAGAAAGATATAAGCCCAGCATATTAAATGGGCAAAGTAAGAAAGCCTCTTTATAGAACTACACTATGAATAGTACCAGTAATTGAGTTTCAAGTCTATCAGTATGGGACAGGACTTGTCACCCCCTGTATATTATCCAGGGTACTACTTATCCACCACGTTTGGCTAATTTTATTTCCACGTCTGGTCTGCAGTAAACTTGTCCTAGTTAGTGTTGTTTTTAATCACACCATTAGAACGAATGTCTGAGAACGAGGCTTTGCAAGCGGATCTGCACTGTGAGACTCACTGCCATGACTGGGTGTCCCAACGCGCCTCTGGTATATATAACCAAGCAGGCTTGACTCTGAGCGTTCAAAAATCCCCATTGGAAAATACAGTATTCATTCATCAGAATAAATGATACCTCATCACCCAAAACCTAGACAAAGGGAGCATACTCCATCTCAACAGATGCTTCTCTGATTTCCGTCCAAACCCTAAATGAATCGTTTGTATCAGATGATGTATACTGGGCAGACCCACTGCCCCTGGGCGTCCTGCAGTAGACACTCCGGGACTGCCTCTGCTTCGGTCTCTACTACCACACGCCTCGCCAGGAACATGCCCTCCTCCATGGATTTTGTTGCTGCTGGCGGTCGGTGACTCGGTTCCTGCTTTGGGTTGTACCATTGAAAAGCGTCTGACAAGTGCCGAAGAATTCCTGCTTGCTGAGATCCGAGAAAATGGTGATGAGTCCCACCTTCGAATACTTTGATACGTTGAAAGCAGTGATTATATTTCCTGCCCTTGCTGGTCAAGCCGTCGTCCTGGGATTGTCGCCTGTGGTCAATACCGGTTGAAGACATACTTGGGACCGAGCGACGGCTACTGCTAAATGTATGTGAATAAATAAAGCAAGACCATTCCGATGGATATCTGGGCTCAGGGTGTCTAGTCTTACGTTAGTGGTAAAAGATTTGACAGGAACACAAACACACGGCCTACTCAGGAGGTTTCCCACAATGCGGCTGCCAAGGGTCTCTGGAGTAATTCGGTTGGGCAGTCTACTCCATTTCAATCAATTATCTATTTATCCTGGGGTGATTGTTGAGGTCCAAACGATTTCAATATCATACTAACTTGTTTCCTCATGGTCAGACTCGCCGCCTCCCCGACGGAAATGATCGTGGCATGAGTCTGGTCCAGGAGCGGCTCCCAGCAGCCCTTTTTTGGTGAAAATTGTCATCGGGAGGTTATCACTATGCGCAGGTAATCAAAAAAGTAACAAGATAGAAAAACATACAACATCCAATTAGATGTGCATTATGTTAGGACCGTCGTTGCGTATAAATGATAGGACTTTACGGATCAAGATAAAGACAGGATAAGACTATGAAACGTCATCCTAAAATCCTCAAAAATGCCTGTTGGCTTTAGTAAGATATTTCTTCTGTATCTTGAATCACTGACCATAATTAAGGAACAAGTACTTTTTTGGGACAAAATTAGCAAAGAAAATCCCAGCGATCATTAAAGGCTTTGTTGGGTATATATTTATGTTAAATCTTATGGGAATGTGTTTGTTTAGTAATGTAGCCTAGAACCTAGAGGTCTGCAACGATAAGGATAGGTTTGATTTCTGTATTTAATGAATATGGAGGGTTTTTTTTCTTAAAATAATCTGGCGGAGGCCCTTCATGGAGGATTCGAGGATCAAACTTTGCGATGATCAGGAGCCGGTTGTTTCTTTACACTCTCCTCTGGGTATCTCTTCTTTCTCCACTCTGTCTTCCTATCTTTCAAGTCATTTTGCTTGCTCTGCCATTTTTCAATTTCATTAGGGCGCAATGTGCCAGTGAAGAACAAGTCGCGTAAAGCAAATCCCGCCTCAGGAATTGCATCTTCTAGGTCAAATAGCACATCCATGACTCGGGGCCGATTCTTTGCTCCTTTCTGCCTGCGTCCAAACTCGTTCTTGATTCCCTGTGCGCGCTGCAGAGGGATTCCGTGCGCCTCAGGGGCTCGATGCCAGCCAGCAACGAATACATTGTGGGCCATGCCCAGTGCCCCAATTCCCAATAGATACCATGTGTTTGTATCAATTCCACCAACGGTGACCAAAAAGCCGACCCACAGGGCGGCAAGCACAATCGAAATGGCTCGAGTCTGCCAGCCACCATGCTGCACCGCACTTGCCAGGTCATCGAGGTACAGAGCCGAGGATTTGTCTTTATCCCGCGAGTTTGGTAGGATGAGGAAAACATGCCGGTGCCCGTTCCCTCGCGCGATAGCATAGATCTGGGGAGAATGGTGTCTGCATGCGTACTTCTCCAGGAACAAGGTCCGCAGAGAACCGGTGACAAGGGCCAGGACGATGCCACATGCCGTGACAAAGAAGACGGCCCAGTCACCAGAGATAATCCAGGGAACAGCACCAATGACTAACTGAGTCAAAGTGATCGGGAAGTAGGTCCACCAAAGGGCGTCCTTCTTTGGTTCCTTGGGCGCATATCCGCTTAGGAAATAACCCTGTCGAGCTGGTAGAGTTTCATACACGGTGACCAACAGCCCTGAATCTCCTGGGTTCGTTTTGACCATCTGATTAGTATTTTCGTCTAGCCATTCCCATTTGTCGAATTCGCTCTCCACCTCCAGTTCGAGGTCACGGAGGAGACGCCCAATGACCCAGGCCTGGTTCTTGCGCGTATCGCCCGATCCCACAACAATGACAGATCCAGGGTAGTCCGGCTCAGGTAAGAAGGCTCCGCTGCCAATCGCATTCAATAGGGAATTGAAAGAGTATGCAACCCAGCCAAAACTGAACGCAACAGGTGTGAAAGAGGCGGGCCCAGCCATTTGGGCAACTGCTTTCTGGATAACATCGCCACCAATGAGGAGCAGCACGGAGAGGGCTTCCTTGGGATTTGAGAATTGGCTTCTGAACATCCCAGGTGCTTCGCTTTCTTTGGTGCGTTTCGAGAGATAGTTCGCCAAGTTTAAAGAGCCTAATATTTGGCGCCCATGACTTTGGTCTGCAGGGGGTAGCACTGCCCCCTGTACGGCTTCTAAAAGAAAAATGGAGATCGTCAAAACAAAAGGCAACCACGACGTTGAAAACATGGTTATATAAACAATCAGTTGACATAAGGATCATTGGACATCGGGTGTCTCCTGAGTGTGAAGGCTGGTGATCTTGGTGATTTCAATGGTGAGGCTGAGTTATCACAAGCTAGACCTCGTCAAGTTTAGCCCATTTGACGAAGGTGCTGATTATGATAGTCGGGCACTCATGCATGAGACAGATCTCAGCTGGCAGAAGGCTGAGTCTGGAAGGCCACTATTCGATTGCAGAACCGCGCCTGTTGGCAGCTCGTGTCAAACGAGCATCAGTTCTCATTTTTCGCTAACTTCCTCGGGAAATCAATTATACATTACTGTGGAACCTATGCTTTGACATGTTGTAGCGGCAGATTGAGATAACATCAGCGCTAAGGGTGGGGTTGGGGAAAATCTAGGCACCGCTTGCTTCCTGTCTCGTCATCATGTGTCGAAATGATCCACTCTAGCTAACAACCGTGATCTCGTCTCGAAAACATACATAGAAGTCGGTACGCCCTGTGGGACGTCAGGAGTCGCTTTACTAGCCGCGAAGGGTTGAAGATCGTGACAGAATGGAACACATCCCCATTCCTGCGGGTGGTGTGTCCCTCGATGCAATTTATATACCCTTGCGATGCGATCAGAGGTACACATACGATGATCAAGGTTTCCTCTCTTACCCAGAACGAGTTCAGATCGACCCCACTCAGCTGCAAGAGGACAATCACCCGCATTTGAAGCTCTGTGATGCATCCCCATTCGTCCAGGCCTGGCTTTGGTTTGGGCTTCTCGGTGAAATTCTACACATCGGTTCTCGAACTACAACTGCACCCAAGTTCATAAGCTCCGCGGAATTTGTCCAAATGCGTGATGGTCAGCCCTTTCTTTCGACTTCGTCTCTCTACAGAGCGATCTATGAAAAATCTAAGAGAGGTAGCTCTATGTTGTATAATGAATGGTATCAACACCGGGTTGAAAGTTGTCTTCGCACTGCCACTGACTTCGCCCGAAGCGCCCTTACGACGCCATATTTTCAGGGTCTTCTGGGGAAGAATCCAGCCATGGAAGGTTTGCCAGACATATTTTTCACCCTTCTGGCTGTCCAAACTCTCTGCCAAGCAATTGAAGCATCAAAGCCTATTTTATTTCTGCAATGCTCTAAATTTACATCCCATGGAAATGGGCGATCCTCACCTCTAGCAGACTACCTGCTTTTGAAATCTGGCTGGGACCCGCAAGAGATTCTTGAATTGCCACGGGATGTTTGCACTCGCTACTATCTCAGTTTCTATTGCCAAAAGGGCTCTCTTAGGCCATCAGTCCCAGAGGATTTCCTCACGCCACTTCATACCGAACACTGTTGTGGCTGTAAACTGCAACAATCTCAGGTTTCTCAGCGCAGTCTGCCGCTCGATCCGACAAAAATTCCCCTCTTCACATTCCAAAAGACAGGATGCAACAGGGGCAGGTTAGATATGGTCTTGTATTCTTTCGAGGCGGTGAAGAGTACATCCTACATCGCCATTAGCCACCCCCGGCAATCTGGTCTGGGCAATGATATGGGAAACAGTCTACCATTTTGTCAGATATCCCGCATACAGGCCCTGGCAAACCAACTAGTTCTATCATCCCCTTCCGACGTCCCATTTTGGATCGACACATTGAGTCTTCCGCTTGATCGAGTCGCTAGAAGAAGCGCATTACGTATTGCCAAAGCTATATTTAAACACGCAACGTCTGTTCTGGTTTTGGATCCGTCCATCTCGCTTTATCCTATCTCTTCTGCTGAAGAGGGGCTTGTGCGCATTACCTTTGCGAGTTGGAAGAAAAGACTCTGGACAATTCAAGAAGGAGCATTGTCTCAATCTCTTCAATTCTCCTTTTCAAATCGCATTGTGAGCCTGGTCGACCTGTTCGACGAATATTCCTCGTGCCCACAAGACCCGATGACATATAACATCCTAGCGAACCCCTCACACCTGCGCTGGGAAGAATGGCAGGACAGAGCAGAGATTATAGACAAATTTTCGGATGACGTCAGTACATGGGTGGATGTCCTCAGCTATTCGAGCAGCCACGATGGTAATTCAGGGCCATTGAGAAAGCAAGACAAAGAGCATTTTTACCGAGCGCTTCGTCTTGGATACCTGTCTGCCAGCAAACTTGAATACTTTGCAAACGAAGATGAGCGCAAGTTCTTTCCACTTGTGTATCAATACCTCTATCAGGTATATGGCTCATTTGATCTGGATTCGAACATCTCGAATGTTACCGACAAATCATTTGAAGCGGTTTCTGCGCGGCTTGAGAAGGTTCGGGCTCTATTGAGTATTGGTTTTCTGACATTAGAACAAGGCTGAGAATGAAGAAATTTTATGACTGTAACCGATAGCAATGAAGACCATAACAACTCCATCCATCATATCCCAACGTTCGGGAAAGCAGCATAGGTATGGAACTAAAAATTGAAGCTTAGTTGCGCTATCAGAAGGTTGAACTGTGATGACGAACCCCGCGGTGTCACCCACCAGATGCGGTTAGTCTACAGCGAATAATAATTGTCGTTAGGCAAATAGCCCTTAGCGGCCGTACTGTCTCCACTGTCTCCAGAAAAGGGTCCCTTTATCCGTAGCATCTGGACTAGGCTGACCGTTGGGACGGGAAAATCCCATGGGATTCGGGATGGGATGGGGCCTGGTGACGCGCGCTGTGCACGCGGATGCACTGAAACGATTTCGAAATTCGGAAATAGTCGAATGTGAATGTGGAAGTGGAAGTAGAAGAGGCCATAAGATATACTAACTATGTAGTAAGATTATATGATATACATCGTAAGTGTATCGAAAGCGGAAGTGGCGTGGTGAGATACCGACCTACTAACGAAAAGAAGAGTTGAAGGAAGTGCGTAGCAAAAACATGCAGACTAGCGATGCAAGTCAAAGCGAATAGGAGAAAATGAAGGGAATAGAAATATGCATGCTGTCAGCCACCGCCCTACTCCATTTAGACTATAGCCCTTGATCATTATCTACACCATGGTATCGCATGTATCGCGTCATTTGAATGATCACCATAGGCCTACAAAGATGCTCATTTTACCATTAGATCTGAAATCAGACCTCTTCATTTCACGATTCCATGTCTTAGGGCTCGGCGGTATTTTACTAGGTGATACGGAATCCTGCATTCCCAATAAATACTTTACAGAGGTTATAAAAGTATGGCTTTTCGGTCAAATATTTGATACACTATCATGTAGGAAATTTACTCCAGAGGTCTCGGACTTGCCAATACCATTCCGTGTATATAAGACCTCTTCTTCTACCTCTGCAGGAGTGGAAATTCCCACCGAAGTGGGGGGATCACGCTGCTTCCTCTTTTCTTCTAAGTAAGTTTTCTCTCTTAATACGAGTACAGCTCTAACTATTTCAACTGTCTTGAGTAATTCATTATGTAGATATTTTTGTTTAGGTCTTACTATTTTAATTCTGCCCCCATCCTCAGAGGTACCGTGACTTTCTTCAGTTTCAGCATCTTCATCACTTTCGGCGTTCTGTTCCGTAGGCCTCTGTATCAAAGCCAACTGATTTCTCCGGTTGCACGAGTACAGGCGGAGCGGGCAGAGGAGCCATTTGATAAGATGAGCATAGCGCTGGATGATGTGGAGATCACGCTCGATAAGGTTGGCGTGACGCTTGATGAAGCCGCTGTGGGGGTGGCGACCGAAGATGCGCTGGATAAGGCAGAGGCGAAAGTGGCGCTCGAGCAGCTGAAGGTAGAGATTCAGGTTGATTAGGTAAAGACCTAGAGCTGCTTGGGTTATTTGTCATATAGTGAGATAAAGACTTCGTCTCACTGCCCCCCATATCAAGGACTTTATCGACCACGATCTTCTAAGAAAAAGAAGTAAAGGGGAACCCCATCCTAGGCAGGGCCCCAGGCGCCTCAAAGGCCAGTCATCAAATTCACCGTGGCGTCAATGACCCCAGCAGCCTCCCGAAGGATCTGTGCAGCAGAGTCCAATTGTCCATGTCCCATCATTACACCGCTATGCTGTTCGTGAGCCGAAAGAAGGGTTCCGGGATGCCCTGAAAGGGGGCTGACCAATTGCAAGCTGTTTTTCGCAGAATCGAGAGAACACACAGTCTCAGCAACAGCGGCCCCGGCTCGGAGAATATGGCACTCAGCAGAGACTTAGGAACTAGAAACTAGTCTCTCTTGAAGTAGGACACAGCAGCATGTCAGGGCCTAGGCCGAATCCTGCCTGAGGCGCCAATTCTACTTTATTCACTATTGATCCAATCCTACAATACAAAATCGCACAGTTCCTGTATGATAGAATTCTTTCTTTCTTTCTCTCTTCCTTCTCTACGTTTGGTGTTTCGGTAGATCGCCACGTTAGATATAAATGATATTGTTTTCCAATGTGTATAGGATCATCACACAGCGTACCGGACACGAGGGCACCGAGATGGGACGAGTTCAACGACATCGTCGAAATTGACACGCTAGAAAGGAAATATACCCAAGTTAGTAACACAGAATACCCACAGTACACCACAACTCGCCAGTAAGCTTATAAGAATTGTCAAAGCTACAGCGCTGTGTACAGGAGGATGGCTTTGGTCTAACTTGAGATGAAAGATGACTTTGAAGATAAAAGTGGGGGGTTATGGATATAATGAAAGGACAAGAGATTAAATAAAAGGAAAAGAGAATCTGACTACTAGAATTTAAAAAAATTCGTAAGGCAGGAAATAGGAGGCCTAGAAATAAAGCGAATATTAAATTCACCTGAGTCATCAGTCCACCTCAAGATCAACCAGTTACCTGCACTGAGAGAAGCGAATGACCAGAAAGAATCCTGAATAAATATATTTTAAATAAAATAAAGCCAGAAGTACCTTAACATTATAAAAAACAAAGAGCTAAAGAATGAAGAATTAGCTCTCAGATAAAAGTGGTAAATCTCTAGAACAGCCATAAGAACGGGTGTCCGCAAGCCCTATATACAGAAAAGCTGGATATACAGCAGCCTCCAATATGTACCCACAGTTATGATTAGTTTCCCAATACTTCCTTTCTCAGACTATCTTTTAGGTCACATTTAGTTCGTTTTAACAACCCTCTAGTGTAGACAAATGAGATAATAAACCTCAGTAGTATTGCAAAGTTTATCTTCAGAGACCACTGAGTAGCTCTCTATGTCAGAAATTGCAGACTTTTCAAGCTTCACAAATCTGCTCAAGAAAAATACAACATTTGTAATATTATTGTTGCACGCTACAATGATCGCAACCTGCCCAACCATGGCCTAGCATATGGCAGGTATCCGGAACTAGGAACGTCCCACGCAAAATCCTCTTAGTTGCGACTTCTAACCTATCAGACTATTACTAACTTAGCCACACGCCTCTTGACATTAGTCTTGTCAGTAGCACCCTGTGCCTGGCGTACCAGTGTATTAGTGTACAGCATTGTTCAATATCACTACTTTATACAATGTATAAGGCCAACGTGTACCTTTTACTGGCTATATATATACTTGTCATAAAGCGGTCTCTGAATTATGATGCCCCTATCCTGCAAGTCCGCTCTTAGTGGGGACTACTAACAAACAATTTTAGCGGTAGACAACATGGTGGAAGGTTCTTGCAGAGCACTTGGGAAGACAATCTTTTTGTTATCCTAGTTTAACACTTTCTTTATATTTTATTTCTTATCAAGTCCACAGTCATGTATCCACTTCTTTTTCCGGAAAGCACAGTTGCGACGTGGCTCTTCAATTTGAGTGGACATTATGAAAGTGCTATTAGTCGGCCGCGTTTAACAGGTGGCTTAAGTACAGCTGAGCGGACGGGAAGCCCTGTTTACCACACCCTATGGTCATATGTATCAGTTTCTCGAAGATGGAGTATTACATAGTGCATTTTGAATGTAAAAGAACTTCGGATTTTTGGAAAAGGCGAAGCCGTCGGCTTTAGAGGGAAATATCGGCTCGGGGTGCTCAGTTCTCAACACTCTGGCTTAATTGATGAGATTCCCCAATTCTACTATATATAATGATGGCTGCGGCTATAGTAGTCCACAAACCATCCAATAAGCTAGGGATCAAGCTCTTTGTCAATCTATAAAACTCGGTAATTTCTATTTAGTTAAGAATAGTTCAGTTCTTTTTGACAATTACTCTGTATCTAATGGTTGCTCTTTGTTTATTTAATAGAGCCTTCTGATAGATCTCCTCCGCGTATGAATAGACTCCATGCATGCACTCATATTCTGATGAGTTAGGATTAGGATTTGTAAACATCGAGAAATAGATAGTTGCCAACTTGCCGCTCAAAGGCCCCTGTGATCCTCCCTGCTTGTTCATGGTAAAGCATCCGTTTGATCCCATTGGGATCGATGTGATGAAATTTCTACTAGCATTAATTGTTCATTCTCGGCTTGGCGTCGAGATTTGTTTGGGGAGAGGCCCATTTTGTAACGGGATCAGATGGCGGAGGAACTGGCCGAGTTGGGAGAGGGGATCTGAGGCCTTCCGCCTACCCCCACGCTCGGGGCGACAGTCGACGCCCTTTATATTGGATTGTATTGGGCGGCTTATTTAACATAAAAATATTTCCAAGTTCCGTTCCGCGCCCTCCTTATCAGGTCAAGTGGTCACCAGGATCGCGATCCATAGCTCCATATTGTCATAACCATTATCATTTTGGATTCTCCACTGCGGTTGAGATTTGATTGCATTACTGGATCTCTTCCTAGGCCCGTTTATTTGATTGGAATTCAGTATTCCTTTGCTCCTTGTGGTCATTGTGTGGTGGTAAATCCCTGACTCGGATACGATAGTACTGAATACGATAAGGCCTAGGGTATCAGGAAATCTTGGACATGTTGCCCAGTGATGACATGACGTTCGGAATGGTGGCACGACAGGAGGACCAATAACAACGGGGCACATGAGCCGCTTGAGTAGCGGAGAAATGAAGAGAGATGAAGTATCAAGGAAAGAAAGACCGCAATGATCGAGCGAGGAGCGGAGCATGCAGTAAAGCTATGTTATGGGTGAAACCCAAGTGTGTCTAACTAGGGAAGTCCTACTTGGGATGTGACGGCCAAGATGGACATCCAGAGCTATCATCTGGGGATGGAAACCGAGGGAAACTGAAGGGATCATCGCGAAGTAGCATCCCTCAAGCCATATGTTATGGTCTGATGTAGCCTACATAATTTGGTCCTTGCTGTTACTTGTCAGATGGCTAAGCTACGCGTCCAAGCCTCGATGAGGAACACGCCCACCCAGTCCCGTCACTACACAAATAGTTATGAATTCCGGTGGAATAATGATATTAATTGGTAGTATCTGTGGTTGAGGTAGTTCCGAAGTCACAGCTAGATACTAACTGGGGGTTGATATAACTTGCGTACCGGCACTCAAACCAACAGATAAGCCCTGATAGATAACAATTTTGGGGTCACATCTACCTAGCCATGTCCTTGAGCAATCGATGTTCACTATTATGCCTTGTATTTGGGCATGACAGTAGAGGCCAGATATTTAGGTAACGAAGATTAATTACATTATCATTATACTATTACCTACGATACTCAATACTACGAACTTAGCTCACTCCGCTCCACGCCCATCAACTCGTTAATCTCATGGGCCTGCCCTTCATCGCGAGTCCTATAGTTCTCCGATGACAACTCAGAGATAATGGTGTCGGTATGAGACCCGCGAATATTCTTGTTGCTATTAATTCCACCGGCAAAGCCGCCAGGAAGTGAAGCACTACCGTCATGGTTCCATACTGGTTCAGAAGCTTCTGGTGACGTTGTTCTTGCTCTTCTTCTCCGCCGAGAAAAGATAAATAAGCCCACACCAGCCGCTAAGAGAAGAATTCCCAGTGGAACACCTAGGCCTATACCGATCTTGGCGGCTGAGGAGAGGCCACCACTGCTAGGTGCGGCTGATGGAAATAGAGCAGGCAAATCCGTTGTTGTGGCAATAGCCGTAGTCGGAGTTGAGGAGGTTGTCGTCACGGTCGCGGTCGAAGTGCCGGTTAAAGATGTGGCCGTCTTACTGGCGAAATGGTATGAGGTTGGTGACGGATCGTCATGGTACCTCTTTGCGACTCCAAATGTAACACTGGTTGCATTGGAGTGGCCATAGGGCTCACCCTGAGACGTCAAAGATGCAAGCTCGAAATGGCAGCCCGACTCAATGTAAATGTCACGATTTGCAGTCCAAACGTAGCTGTATTTATTTGTAGTATTTACTATGCCTGTTAGCTACCTACAATGCCGAGTGTAGGTTGGGATGAGTGCTCTCACACGTAAGAATCCAATTTTCCGTGCCACAACGCTCATACAAGGATATCCGCGGCGTGACAACGTCCCAAGTCACATTAATCTGATCTCCAACGATGAAACGTTTGTCCAAATCTGTGGGAAAAGTGAATCCCCCGGCCTCGCTGCTCTCTGTCCAGAGCATCAACACGAAGACAACATTGTGAACAAGTCTCCGCGAGAACCGAAGGTTCATCCTTCCGTTAGGCAAACGAAGAAAAAGCTCACGCCCGGGACAATGGCAGACGCAAGGAAGATGCAAGGTATTGGGGAACCGGTTTTTGTTAATCATGCGCCATTATAACAGACCCCACATGGCTTGGCGACGATATTTAATCCCTGCGCCGGTTACCAATCGCGGCGCGACGCATCCCGGACGGAACCTTGCACTAAAAGCAGCTTGACCGCGCCATACTTCCAAGACAAGAGCTGGACTCGACGCCTGTGGTCATGCGGGGAATATATCGACCGGGGGATATCCCACCCCACTTGGAACCCCATTCTCACCATGTGCAACATGGTGAGACACTGCCTCGACTTCGCCCTCCAGCTCTGAAATAATACTTCTCTGGATTGGGGAGAGGATGATACTCCGAGCGGAAAGTATGCTGGAGCCACTAGATTAATATGGGGGCCTGTGACCATTTTTAGTACCTTGATTGATAGAAAGGACCAAGCGGATACCCCACGAAAGAAAAGAGAAACACCGCGGCTTAACAGGAGGCTATGATGCTGTCTGTCAGTAGTCGTAACGTTCGCTGTCACTGGCAAAATAAGAATTAGAACAGTTAAGATGGCAGCTAATTAGCTACTATGGCTAAATCAGTTTCACCTCCGAACACACTGTTCCCTTTTCTGAACGCCATAGCTAAGACGCTAGGTTCGAAACTGAGTGTGCATAAGATGACCTTCAGGTTAGCATACATTTACAATATAGTAATATGTATTTGCACGTGCTTGGAGTAATCTGGATCTAAGATTATGGATTACGCATACGAACCAAACATGGGTGCCTCAAGGTGGCATTCTTTTTCGTTCCCCATCTATCAATATATTGGATACCCCTAACTCGATTATCTTGTTCCTGTCACCTGAGTTTTGCTCTATATAGAGCTAGTGCCTGTACAGCAGCTACCTGAATATATTATACTAGGCCTGGTGATAGACCTTGCTCTCAGCATAGAGCTTGCACCTGCGCTTCTGCCCTGCGGGCTTTGTATAGGCAGGTATAGTAATGTATCTTTAGAGTTTGGCCTTTATCCAGTCATACTCCTAGCCATTGTGTGGCTTCAGAGTTGAATGAGACTCCGTGCTCTTCTATCCAGATCTTAGCCCGCTGAACTTGATTCTTAAGCTCCTTGCCTCTCTTCCTTATAAAAAGAACTGTCTCTGTCTTTTCTGTATTAAACTAAATTACCTATTTTGTGCCTTACTCAATAGCTGTTCTAGCCGCTTGTTCTAATCCTTGACAGGCTTGTTGTACTGAGCTAGCTGATATCAGCGGACATATATTATCTGCATATGATAATATTCTGGTACCAGGAACTGCTTGCTCAATAGCCTTGAAGATCCCCCCAGGTAGATTATGAAAAGAATTGGGGATACTGCTGAGCCCTATGGAACCCCTGATTCTATCGGCTGTATAGCATACAGTTGTTGGCCGATTACTAGCTGTATCTTGCGGTCTGCTAGAAACGATTGCACCCATTGGCAGAGGTCTGTGTCTAGGCCCAAATCTAGCATGCGCTTTACTAGCCTTGCAGCATCCACATGGTCAAAAGCCCCTTTACATCCATAAAGAGGGCCCCCACAAGCTGTTTTTCAACTTTCATTATACAAGTGAGTGTCAAGAATAGCCGCAGTCCCATTCGTTCATAGAATGTACTCTAACTTTGATTATTTCATGTATACAAGGAAAGGTAAAAGAAGCTCTAAGGTGAGCCTAGCCAGGCTGGCAATAGGCTTGCATTTTGATATATAGCTTGTCCTCATATCAAAGTTTAGACCTCAGAAGCGTGAGTGAGACGTCCGGAAATGTTTTGTCTCAGTGTGCCCCACTAATATCGATATGTGGAACAAGCTGACCAAGCTGACCTCGACCGTAACCAATAAAGCAGGCTTATTTCCGATTACTAGACAAGATTGCGACTGCTCAGACTTGGGGGCCTTTGATAATTTACAATTATTGACGCCTTCAAAAATTCTCGATAGCAACATATCTCATATTATGCAGCTAACGCATAGTATCTCACTAAGTGTGGGGAATCCTTTCTGTAGTGGGGGCGCGACAAGTGGCATACCACCCGCTTCCATCGACCTCCCTCGGGGTACAGAACCCGGACAGTGACACGGAATATGTCCGTGGTGATTCTTTGTAAGGAACGGAGGAAAGGGGGGAGTGCGCGCTGCGCTGTGGCAGGTTGGCAGAGCAGCTGCAGCATCTCCCGCCCCCTTGGTGCTTTCCTACATGTGTCCCCCCCCCCTCTTTCAATGATAATCATCTCTAGTGTGACAAAGAATGCTAATCCGAGCTGATGTGCCAACGGGGCCGCGGAACGGGGAAGAGTCATGCGGGCTGGAATATATATCTGTATGGCACAGCAGGTATAGTGCGGGGAAGGACTACAGAAGTGGGCTTATGCAAGGGAAAGATGTAAAATGGCGAATGGGGGACTCGGTGGCTATTTGCGGAGGGATCTGATCGTAGCGTACGCGTGCTCTGTGTATAGAGCTCCGCTGATTCGGTATACCGGTCGTCAGCGACCTGGGAAAATGCCCAATTGAGAGCCCTATTCGGATATAATGCAATAAATAACCAATCAAACCAGTCAACCAATTTCTCATTATGCGGTATTACTCCTAACCCAAGCAAACAGGGATCTAGTGGCTGTACAGAGTTCTGATCAAATTGACCGCAAGTGCTGTCGGATTTATGTAGAAGAAGCAACCCCCTTGCCTACAGTCACTCATTCTTCCCAAGAAATAGACGTCAGTGTGACGCCAGCCACAATTATAAATGATCGTGTATTCCTTTCCATGGGGCTCTTGTCAGAGTTAATTCAACTACTCTGCTATAACTAGTCAAGATGAAGTCTACAATAATAAAAGCACTATCCCTCGGGATCTCAGCAATGATATGGCTAGAGAGTGCGATCGCCATCCCCGAAGATCCATCTGCTTTTGATACGTCGCAGTCTCAAGACCACAATGTCATCATGCGTGATGTCTGCATTATCGGCGGCGGTTCCGCCGGTACCTTCGCAGCCATTCGCCTCCGGCAAATGAACCAGAGTGTAGTGGTGGTGGAGAGAGAAGACCATCTAGGTGGACACGTCAATACCTACAACGACATGACAACCGGAACCGCCATTGACTACGGAGTATTATACTACGAGGACCTTCCCTTGGTACGGGATTACTTTGGCCACTTTGGCATTCCGTTGGAGAGGGTCAGCGCCCAAAAGCAGACCGCCAACTCGCGTCGCGTAGATTTGCGAACCGGAACATCAGTTGGCCCTGTAGAGGGCAATATGGCTCTGGCATTGGCGGTTTATACGACTCAGCTACTTCGATATCCCTACCTGAACACGGGCTTTAATCTCCCCAATCCAGTACCTCCAGACTTGCTACTTCCGTTTGGAGAATTTGTGAAAAAGTATAAGCTAGACGGGGCAGTCGACATCATCGCGCTCTTTAACCAAGGCGTGGGTGATCTATTGCAGCAGACTACTCTATATATGATGAAATACTTCGGCCTTGATGTGCTACAAGGAGCGTTAACAGAGTTCCTCCAGCCAGTCAGTCACAATAATAGCGAGTTATACGTTGCGGCACAGGATGAGCTAGGCAAAGATGCATTGCTAAGCAGTGCCATCATATCCACCCGCCGTGAAGAGGAGGGAAAGTGGGTGAAAGTGCGGGTGAGCACGCCATCAGGAGAGAAACTGATTCGCGCGAGGAGGCTCATCGTTGCTATCCCACCCAAGCTAGATATGCTGCAAGGAATAGACCTAGACCCGATAGAACGGGGGTTGTTCGAACAGTTTAACAACACGTGCTACTACACCGCATTGGTCAAGATTCCAGGCCTTCCACAAGGCCTCCAGGTCGTGAATCGCGCCAACGATACCGCTTATAACCTACCACCGCTGCCAGCGGTCTATGTGCTCAATCCTACCAGGTCACCGAATCTAACCACGATCCTCTATGGAAGCAAGGAGCATATGTCTGAAAACGAGATTAAAGAACACATGACACAGAGCGTGCTGAGTTTAAGAAACCAGGGTTTACCGGTCGAGGCGCCGGAATTCGTGAGATATTCCAACCACTCTCCATTTTTACTGACTGTACCTCCAGAGGCCATTGCAAATGGCTTCTACCGGAATTTGAATGGCTTGCAGGGTAATCGGAACACGTACTGGATGTCTGCAACTTTCAATGCGCATGATTCGGCGCAGATTTGGTTGTTCGCCGATAGATTACTTAGATCCATCTCTCAGTCAGAATGAAACCTGTGGCATTGGGCCTGTATTTGAGTATTGCCAGGATTATGTTGTTACGAGACGTTTCTATGGTAAATGAGCAAGTTAGCTGGGTTCATTTTCAATGATATCTTTATTTTGCCAATAAATATGCCATTTGCACTCTCCAGGAGGCGATGAATAATCTCAGCATTAATCGCTTCAGATTGTTCAATTTGTTCTGCCGATAGATTAGCCGTGGCATCGCCAGGTGTTGAGAGCAATCTGTGAGGTTATACAATTGCGCAATCAGAGGGTTATATGCGTGATGGTGATCTCCATTGATGCAGATATCTCAAAATTGAGACTACAGACTAGATATTCTAACTATACTTTGACTTCGCCGGCGTACTATTAGGACGCTTGGAGGCATTAAGGACGGAAGAAAAATAGAAATTTATACTCCATCCCTTTACAATGTGCTGATTTCAGGGAGCGGCGACCACAAATATTTCTGCCCTATAGAGATAGTGACTTCAAGCATTGTCAGAGATGCAGATCCTGCACGGCACAAGCTTAATTAAATTAAAGTGATCGAAGGTACAGACCTCGCGATCAAGAGCAGCAATGGTGTGATATGGGAGTAAAAGCGCATGACTTCATTTCTAAACCCCGTCTGTCGCCGCTTTTTGCGTCTACCTGCCCTACCCTACCGCCTTCGAGCCGTGCCGCGCTATCTGACGATTCGTTGCGTTACAGACCATTCGGAGCTCACCTGTGATGAAGGTAGAGCCTGTGCCTCAGCCTCTTTCCTTTGATTAGCGAGCACGGAGCATCGGTCATTTACTCAACGATGGGATTTGTTTGTTGACCTGAGTCTCACGTTTGATGCTGGCCAATCGATACTAAAGGTAACACTGTAGTAACAATCTTTATTGATCACTGTTGTGATCTCAGGGGAAAGATGGGCAGAATGAGACTGTATCAGCTACACGTACGTAGCCTACTGAGGACCGGATGCCATTTCGATAGATACTCAATTCTATGGACGACTCTATCGACTATCTTGACTGCTTCTAATCTTAACTTCTCATAGGTAAAGCCTTCAGGGGTTTGGGAGTCGGTGATCCGGCCAAGGCACTAGGATCACGTGGTCTCGTATAGATTCATATCAATCACGAAGGGCCAAACTAAGAACATGTACATGACTGAGTGTCTATATATATCCCTTGGTCTTATACCATTCTGTATACCTTGGTATATATCTTATACCGTATACCATAGTTCACACACATCCCCATCCATATACCCTGTCGCGTGGTGAGTCCTTCGGGAATCCGCTAGTGCCTAGGAATCCTGGTTACAAACATATCGGAATTTCTATGAGTTCTTGCCGTATCGCGGTTAGTGCTCAGTGGGGCGGGCTGAGTGCTTAGTAGTGGTGCTTGAACTGACAATTAAGGTGTTTCTAGGACTGAGCCAGGCCTGAGATTACCAGTCTTAGGACTGCTAGATTTAGCTGCTTCCCATTTGGACTATCAGGTACTGAAACACTTCTTGGGCGTTTTTTAATAATTATCTATACTGCTGGAGAGCTAGGTAATATAGTAGACACTTGATTTCAGTATTTTCAGGCTGCCTGTTTGCTAGGGCAACTAGCAACTAGGGCAGGCAGGGTATCCGCCTCCGCTGTTACCATATCTTGCTGGGGTATGTTGGCATGCCTTGCCTGCTCTAGCTAAGCAGCCTAGGGCTGAACACGCATGGTTTAGGCCTTCATGGGAGCCAGCGCAGATAAAGCATTTGGTGGACAATCGCTACAGGTCCTATAGCTCTTCTGCCCTATCGCACAGCACCGGGTTCATAGGCATAGTGTATCAGGTCCTAGCTTCTAAAAGTGCTCTACCTAAGGTGGGACATCTGCGCAATTACATTGTACGGGCGGGTAACCATGGTGATTATAGAATTTACTAAATAGAGCTATTTGGAATGATTGGCTCTTCTATTCACCCACTTGTACGCTGTCGATATTAATAAGAATCATGGTTCATCAGTCGGTCTCGCTCAAATGTATCACTGCCACCGACCGAGGGAAAACCAAGGTACAAGCGACAAGGTACGGAGATGGTGACGGACAGCAATTCCCGATCGAGAATATACGAGGTGCTTAATTGAGCTAGGACGCTTTTAACCGAACCTGAACGCACACGGGAGGGCATTTGAAATGAATAGTAGCTGACGTTCATTGTGGATTTCACTAAAAGAGAAGAAGACAGGTTTCATATGTGTGTAAGGGTATGGTGGAAAAGCGGTAGAGAAACCATAGGCAGCTTCATTCCGGGACCAATTCTGTATCGAAGTTAGATTGATCCCTCCAGTTCGGTCAGTGGGCTGACGCCGTTGGCAGAATGGGTGAGCAAGGAGCAATTGTGTTGATGATGAAGCACGCCAGTCCCGGACATTTGTCGAACATCATCATCCTCTGCAGCTCGACACAGATACGATCCAGATTATCTGTGGCCTCGACCTGGACGTGGAGCTCATGCGAGCCGTCATGCGATAGAGTTGTTGGCGAGACATGGGGCGCCCACGGTATCAGGCTTCGATTCATGATATAGGCTTCCTGTTTTAATCTAACTTTGTTGACCTAGACATGGATGAAACATCGAAACAGTCAGTTGCATGTAAGAGTCTGGATGAAGCTTGCCGGTGATAAGACCAGTCATGGGCCTGGCTTCCCTTTGCCTTTTAGCCAACTACCTACCCCCCTTGCCTCCCCTGTTTCCCTCTGTCTTTTTGAGTTGTCATCAGCTTTTTGCTTCTAGGGAGTTCAACTACTCCATCATGCCCGTTCCCAATAGCCCATGCCAGTGGTGTCCGGCATACTAGTCCTTAGACTCTAAGTGAGCACCTTTCTCAATAAGTAGCCGGACAACTGCTTCGTGTCCGCTCCCAACAGCCAATGACAGGGGAGTCTTGCTATACTGGTCCTTAGACACCAAGTTGACATCTCGCTCAAGAAGCACCTGAACAACCTCTTTTTGCCCGTTCTCTATTGCCCGAAATAGTGGTGTTAATAATGTCTGGCCACGACTCTTGTCATCATTCCCTACGTTAGCACCCTTGTCGAGAAGTAGCTGGACAACTGATTCATGTCCATTCCCCACAGAATATAAAAGGGGTATCTAGCCTCTGATATCCATTGCGAGAGGTTCCATGTCACACCTAGGCCGCAGCAGATTTGCTAATGGCCTTTGCCTCTACCCCTTTGCCCCTGCTATCTTGGTCCTGTATTTGGATGAGATTTGGTTTGTCCTTAGCCTCGTCAGGCGTGGCTGTTGGACGCATATCCTTCTTATGGAGTATTGCGGGGGCCGCACATTATCTAAATTCAGGTATTCAACGCTTTCACATTGAACTCGTTCGAAATTCTGTATTGTCATATATAAATCTCTCAGGTAGATTGCGATCAACCGTTTTCCCTTCGATCTCTCTGTACAGTTGAGCATAGCGAGCCCTAATCCTTGGCGGCCAATACCGACGAACCTGAGTCCCACATATATTCCTTTGCTGCCTACAGTGAGTGGACCAGGTTGCCAAACTTAGGAATGGGTTGTATGTAATGATATTACCGGAGTTTGAAAATAATCTGGGAAGGTCGCTAGAAGTCCGCCATCACTTTCTTCTTCCGATTTCCAGGCGAAGATGCTCTTGTCATCCATGACCTTCATAATCTCTTCCTGAAGTTAAACAATGTCCACCTGTCCTCGTAGATCCGGGCAGTGCAAATTGGTTTGGAGAGAGTCCATTCTGTGGCTCTACTGATAACAAGTATGGCGATGTCTCTGGCGAGTGGACTTATGTCCCCTCGACAAAGGATTACGACTACGATGAACTTTGCGGTAAACCTTTCAAGCATCCTGGGTACCCCGAAGGCTGTTACAACATCGAAGAATACGGCGTGGGGTGTATTACTGGCTATAAAAGAATGGTGTGAATTCCAAATATAGATGTGAAGAAGACCGTAAGTGTCTATTCTCTTGAATTTATTGCACGCTTCTTTCATCTTCGACTTTCACGCTATAGTCGGACTTCTGCAGTCCATACAACCCATTCAGAAAAATACAATATTCCAAAGTCATCCTCCTACCAGGTATCCTGACTTTATCAATCATATTAGCTTAGTTCTAATGATCTGGTCTACCAAAGGCATATTTTAGCAGCGCCATGATGGACAGCAGCGGTGATGATAGTTTGGAGGCCAGAAGCGTTTTATAATCACGGATATTATGCCTACATTGGAGGGCTCTCTGTTTATCTCGGCTATAATATTTCTTATATTTCAATATTCAAGAGACAATCGGACTTGCATTTGACTTCTTTACTCGTTCCTCTTCTCTCTAGTCACAACAGGGTCAGCGCTGCTATAAGACCCCCAATTTTCCACCAGACTATAGCCGTACAAGCTCCACCACTGGCCGATGTCCATTTTCTTCCCCAAGCCCAGCCGGCTTCCTCCCTTCTGCAAATGCCTTTAAGTACTCCTTGTCCTCAGTATACCGCAACAGTCTATCAATACGCCCCACAATCCGTAAACACCCTAACCTCGGCACCGCCTCCAACTGCTCAACCCCAAATAGTACCAAGGGCTCACACGGCTTGCGAGACACCGCATACTGTCGAATACCCTGACTGTCTGCCTCGGCGAAACACAACAACTCTTCCTCCAGCGATGGAGTCGTGATTAGCAATTCCAAAACATCAACCCGATCCATATACATCAGTACCTCAGCAAGCCCTTGCATGTTGTTCTGGTTCGAGAAACATTCGAAGAGAGCATTGCTGCTGAACTGCAAGCTTAATCTCCGGATATACCTTCTTTGTCGGGGACTGATTGCATTTAACCAGTTGCTAGCTTTTGCGATATTTCCTGACACGGCGAAGAAAGTTGCCGAATAGAAGAATGGCATTGCTTCCTCGTATATTGTTTTGCAGGTCGCCACAATGGCAAGAAACAGATGTCGGTGCTGGCGGTATATATGTCGCCGGGATTGTTCCTTTGCTGAGTAGTGCTTGCTATCCATTGCTGCGTAGTCGCTTGCTTGTGGGGCTGAGAGAGGGTGGTTGTAGACCTCGAATGTCTTGGAGAGACGCCATGAGGTCTCGGTGCTGTAGGGCAAGTCGCTGTCTAGGCATGCCTCGCCGACTCGGAGTCGAGTGTTTGGGGCAATACCAAATAAGTGCCGGTAGACTTCGAACCGCAGATCGGACGGTAATTGCAGAAAGAGGAACTGTGTTTGGGATGGCATGATGGGCGTTCTTCATCTGAGACTCAGAGTTGCGATCAGGCTTACAGGCGACCTATAGGGTAGGAACGACGACATTGAAGTTATTAGAGGTTTGGAGCCACCTTCTAGCGTTCTGCTTACATTTTAGTCACATTGGCCAATAAGCGTTCTACAGCTAAGCCTCACTGATCAGGCTGAAGCAACGCTCAGCCTCAATTTCATCAACCACTTAGAGTTTCTATAATAGTAGGTAGCATAATCCCCGCACTTGTGCACGATAGGAGTTAGGGTTTTAATGCCAAGGCTAGGGGTTATTTGTCGCCTCTGGAGGACAGTATATCAATCATGTCGGAGGCTATTTGCTAATACTTGCTCCTTTTCACATACTTATAGAATAGTTATAATAGATGACAAATGTCTCCACAGACTAAGCTATACATAGTCGGTCTCCGGTTATTTTGAGGAATCCGCCAACGACGAACTCGCACTTCTACTCAGTGCTAGTGACTAGTAGTCTTCGGGCGAAACTAAGACAAGTTCACAGTTTTCCTCCTCCCATGACAATCGTGAACGCGCTCGGTTGTGCCTTGTTGGCAGAGCGGGCTGGGAAACATGCTGCAGATAGATAGTGAAGAGGATACTGGACCTGGCATATGGGAGAAGGTGACTGATATTCCTGTGCTATGTATGCATGGTGTGTCTGTGTCAGATTGTCGTGAAGACAATGAAATTTGTTGTTCGATGCCCTTTTCTGTGTTTCCTTGAGTAATTGTTTGTGATTAGGGTTTGAGAACTGGGTGGGTTGTAGATGTAGCTCTCCTGTATGTCGTCAATGAATCATATGGTCTCAATGATCAGCCAGCCAATTTAGTGTCTAGAAGCTACTTCAGTTCTCATATCCCTCAGGAAAAGTCCGGCATGCCTTTTATCCTGATTTCTTGATTGATGCATTTGTGTGGAGGACTCCAGAGTAACGGCAGTCATTCTAGGTATGATGCCAGATTTCCAAATTTGACGACGTTTCTTCGCGGACGGTGACTTGCCAGCACTTCATAAATCAATCATTACTGGCCTATCAGAGTTCTCTCTGTACATCACCCCTGCAGTACTCCTGTTTAATCTACGCTGAAGCCCAAGAATGTTTTCCATAGTAAGGTCAAAGATACGGTCTTTTCTTCGATTCCTCAAAACGCAAATCAAGGCCCACCAATCCACCACCACAACAGGACCTGCATGACCCGAGTATCCCTCCATTTCTGAATCTCCCAGGCGACATCCCTTTTCGAAATATTCCCACTGCTGCCGCTACCGTCCCAGGCCTGTCTCGCACTCAGCTGCAAGCCTTTGTACAGACTCTTTAGCTCCACCCTTCAAGATGAGAGGCTAGCCTGGCGGCTAAGTCTGGTGGCCTGTAAACATTCAGGTGTCTATGGAGTATTTAGACCCCACCAATTTCTCTTAGAACTCTGTTTCTGCTTCTTCTTCTGCTTCAAGATGACTGCTGGCTTTACTGTTCGGCATGCTTAAAAATACAGCCACGCGCAATGTTACGGTCAAACATCAAATGCCTCCCGCCTCTATCCCGAGAATGGATATACTGGTTGAGAGTCATAGACCTGTGTCCTTGTCTCTCGTTGACTTTTTTCGACCGAACCTGGTTAGAACGAAGGTTGCATGCAGGTCTAACCGATACACTCTCCCAGCGCATCCGTGAGGCTTTCCAGCTGTTGACCACATACGGAGTGCCACTTCTTATACGCCGATGTTCAATATCACCTACCCGGGAAGTATCCGTTGACCTTATGATAACGGTCAGTTTCAGTGAGAGCAAGCGGCTAGTAGCTCAGACAAGATATCACGTGCGTATGAGCAGCCATCAACCAAACCCATTGGAGGTGGGACCTTCTAGCGAGCGGACATACCTCTACCTCTGCCCGCACATTAACCTCCTCCCCTTCTTACGTGGTTCACGTTACTTGTCACGAATCGTATGTCGGGTATGCGAGACCAGTGCCTGCGTGTCTAGCGGCGAGGAGGAAGGTTTGCACGTTGTTCTACAAGGTGTGCAAAGTATGGGAGGACCTTGTTACTATGAAACGAGCGACCTATCGTGGTACAGGATCGCTCGCGAGAATTCACATAACATTACCGGTTCAATGATTGCAAAACAACTCCGTAGATATGGTACCAGCTCATCATCTTAAGGGAAATTCTATTCTGCGTGGACCAGGGGTCGATTGCTAGAGCTTTAGGTATCCTGCGATTCTAGATATATTAGGGGATCTGATTGCGGGGAACATTTCAGGTATAAACTTCCCTTTGCTTTTTTGCTATGTGTAATGGCTTTATGCACCATAACCCAACATATATCCATTCCATCTTGATAGGAATATAGTTTCTTCGTCGCCAAGCGTCTTGACTAGGCTACAAAAAAAGCTTGCTCCGTATGCGGGCATTATAGCGGTCCAATCAGCCAAGTTCCCGCAATAATAGCCTCTATGTACTGTACATAGCAACCATAATGCGTATCAGGGTCTCCAATATCTCAACGCCAAGGCTTGTTCTGTCGCAGCTCCGGTGGAGATGTCTGTTAAGGAGTAACATGGGGGCGAATCAGATGCGGCTAAAAAGCTCCGTTCCTCCCGTCTCTGAATGCGTTTGGCCAATTACAACAAGAAGGTGAACGCATTAATTGTGGGGTGGACTTTGCCTTCAAAGGGAATTTTTCCTAAATGTCACTTAGATCAATAATTCGGAGTTGACAGGGAATACGGGAAAGCACTCTGCACTGAGGTCAGGTGAGCGCCTAAGTGCCTTAGGTAGAGGGCTTCGCATAGGCGATGCTTATTACTGGCTGCGACGGTGAGGAGTTTGCCCTAGTGTTGATTATATTAGTAGCTGCATCAATTTACGGCCGTAGCGTAACCTTAACCTGCATGGCGGTTTCACCGGGGCTTTCTTAATATCGGGCAGCCACTCATCGATCGGCTATCTCTACCCTTTTGCACCAACTATCTGGTAATCTAGATGCCTATGGTCTAGATCGCTCTGCAGCATGGGTTCGCAGCTAGAGTAATACTACCCAATGGTGGCGGTGGCAGTAGGTCATGGGTACAGCTAGGCCGATATGGGTAGCTCGCCGAAGGATTTATTTGTTCAGCTGTGGTGGCCCTGCTTATAACAGGTGGCATTTTCCGACGAGGAAAAGAAGATTATACTGAAATTCTTCCCTATTAGAAAGGGGGTTAAGCTTTCATAGGGGGCCTAGCTTCGTACATTTGTATTTGATGCCTGCCTTGAACATTTATCCCCAGGCGAAATCAAGTACTTTTTTGCAAACATGAAGGCGGTCATCTACACAGGAAAGGACACCATTTCGGTCGAGGAGCGTCCAAAGCCATCCATCCTCGAGCCCACAGACGCCGTCGTCAAAGTCCAACACACCACCATCTGCGGAACAGACCTGCATATCCTACAAGGCCACGTCCCGACATGCACCCCCGGACGTATCCTCGGCCACGAAGGCGTTGGAATAGTTGAATCGGTGGGCAGCGGCGTCACACGCTTTTCGGTCGGCCAACCCGTCCTGATCTCCTGCATCACGTCCTGTGGCTCCTGCAATTTCTGCCGCAAAAACATGCCCTCCCAATGTACCACTGGTGGGTGGATCCTGGGTAACACCATCGATGGCACGCAGGCAGAGTACGTGCGGATCCCCCACGCAACGTTCTCCCTGCATGCGCTCCCGGCTGGTCTTGACCCTAAAGTGGCCGTGACCTTATCCGATGTTCTTCCCACTGCGTATGAATGTGGCATTCTAAATGGCCAGATCCAACCCGGGTCAAGTGTTGCTATCATCGGCACGGGGCCGATCGGGCTGATGGCCCTTCAGATGGCGCAGAATCTTTTCGGGCCGTCAACGATCGCCGTTGTTGGCCGGGGAAAGCCCAGGCTGGACACTGCGAGGGAAATGGGCGCAGATCACGCGATTAGTGTGCTTGGGGGTCCGGCGGATGCTATCGCCTCTGGGCTTGCAGTGACAAACAACCAGGGATTCGACGTGGTAATCGAAGCAGTGGGGACGAATGATTCGTTTGAGCTCGCGCAGGCGTTAGTAGGTCCCGGCGGGACGATAGCCAGTTTGGGGGTTTTTGGGGAACCCTGTCCTCTACATTTGGAGGAACTGTGGCATCGCAATATCTGTATGTTTGGCTTTATCTGGCCTTGTTGGAATATCTTGCTGACTATGGAACAGGTATTAGAACACGGCTGGTTGACGCGTGCACGACCCCGGATCTACTGAAGATTGTTGAGGCGGGCAAAATTAGCCCTCACTTTTTGGTTTCGCACAGTAAGTTGGCTGTCAGACTTATCCTAGTGGCTCTCGGCTGACGTGTGCAACAGATTTCCCGTTCGATCAGATACACAAGGCCTATGAAACATTCCAGGCGCCCTCCAAGTATGGGTCTCTCAAGGTGGTTATCAGCATGTCTGAACTACAGCCCGCCAGTCCAAGGCTGTAGTTTCCGAAAGCAAGTGTATCCCCTAGATCCATAGTCTACTAACAGTTATACAATTATGGCTTTATGTACACCAAAAGTCTGTCTCTTCACCTAAGGTAGGATAGGTCTTGGTGCGACTTAGTCAAATTTTTAATTATATCTTTCTTCATCTGTTGTGTAAATCATCAGTCCGCTTAGAAGAAAGGGGCAAGTGTCGGAATACAAAAAAATGTTTACTGGATTTCAGAGGCTCTAGATATTAAAAACGCTATGCCAACCCCCCAACTCGACCGGGTAAACGAACAACATCCACCTAATCGAAGCAACAACGGGATACAGGCAATATCAAGAAGACCACGAGGGTCAAGCAGACTAAAAGTCGCACGAACAGAGCTTATCTTTCTTTTCCATACTGGGTAGTTATACTTAGCTTTGATGACCCTAGTTGTTTTGTTTTTACCATGGTATCTCAAGGCTTTCGTAAATGGCTTTTGAAAAGTTTATTCTAATTTTTGGCATACCAGTATTGTTTGTCTAGCATGGATTCGTCTCCCACGCGCAACAGGTATCTGGAGAAGATATTGAAATATAACCTTCAAACAATCTAAATACAGTTTCTATTTATGGAAAGATCAGTTTCGGGTGTATTCACAAGTATGGGGCTTCGCAGGAAGAAGTCTAGATACACAGCTGTTTTCAGAGATCCTATGGGAAATTTTTGACCCGGTTGATATCACCATATTGCCCCAAGCCTTAGTTGTGCCCGCGTGTAGACACGCCATGACCGCTCGTGACACGCAGATGTTTTGACATGCGTGCTTCAACATAAGGTGACTGGCGGTCCTTCGCAAGAAAAAATATTGGGGACTTCAAGGAAGTAAAAGGCAAAAAACATACAACAGCCGGGATTCGCTGGTGGTCACCCACCCAACTACTAACCGGCCGGCGTGTGGCTTAAGTACGGCTGAGCGGACGGGAAGCCCTGTTCTCCACACCCTGTGGTCGTATGTACAGAAATCAGCTCGATAATATCTAAAGTATGCAATACAGAAAGCAAATCTAGTACTTTTGTGGTGTTGAGACTACTCGACAGTATCATATCGCCACTCTGTTTTACATAAATTTTTTGGTAAATATAACTATAGCACCAGACGGTCTAAGAATATTATTTTTCAATCGAATAGGTTGTAGTTAGTGGAGCATAAGGTTTAATGCTGGGAGACGCCATGTGAGGTCGCGCATTATCGGGGGACATTGATGAGATTGAAGGATTTATACAGCTAGAATACGCAGATAGATCAGGAATCCAAATCCTAAAAACATTCGTTAAATGACCGCTGCATTACTGGCGTATATGAAATACTGATTCATGTTGACATAATATAAACTTTACTTACCTAAAAGATTCAACATGCTCAGGATCTTCAGATCAAAGAAGATAAAAGCTATACAGCTTGCTAAGGCTACAAAACAAGATAAAGGCTTCACCCGGAACAGAAAAAGAAAGAAAAAAAGGCTCTCAATAGAAGAATAAAAAGATATTCAAGCTTTGAATAAGGAGATATGTCACAGAAAGTGACCTAAAGAAACGTCAAAAAGTAAGACGAGAAACTTGCCAGAGGCTAATCTGCAGCTCCAAATGATATCAATCAGATCAATAAAAGCAAGAATAGGATCTCTATACCTTCTATACCAAAAAATAAGAACGATATTAGTGATCTGGATCAGGTTGTTGTTGCAGAGGCATCTTATACAGTAAATCGTCGAGGGCAGACAGATTCATCTATCTGACCATTTTCGGGTTCATTAAAATGACTATTTAGGTTCTATATAGGCGAAAGGAATCACCAAAGAATCTCATGATAATAATTAATATACATCAGAAACAACGGATAGGGTGGACTTGAGAAATTCCTCGGTCAACTCGATCCGGCGAAGGCCGTTGCCGATGTAGCAGGTCATATTATCACATAATTTACGCTTTCCTGCTACACGAGAGCAGGAGTGGCAAGTACTGGCTTCCGGAGAACCCAGGGAGACAGCCTATATTATCTTATAAATGTGAGGCTCGGATTTCAGTGAGACGCTTCCTTCTTTGAGTCCAGAAAGCCACGTAAGATGGGCTAGGTAGCCGCTCGACGGTGACCATTTTCTGGCCACGCTGGAGTAGATTATGGTCGGGCATCATAAGTTCCATACTCTTCATACTGATTGCAGAAAGAAATAGCCACTATGTAATAGTTGCTTTGGAGAAGTAAAATAATGACAGAGCTGCGTTAAAGGCGCAGAAGTAGAGTGAAAGAAGGGTGTATATAGTCTACATTTCTGGCCAGCGGCGTTTCCCACGCTCCCTACTGCTAATCCATAGGCGTTATCACACAGACACCTATTTTGTATTAGTGTCTAAAGCCCGGCGGCTGCGATCTCACTTGTGTCTCTTTCTATCTGGGCGTATGGTTATTGGAAAACATTTCTGGACGAGGACATGCTCTCTTTATTTTTCTTGGGGCAATTACTTGGTGATTATCTGGGCCGCATGCGTTGGTTCACGATGCCTAGACGAGTAGATGGGCGGCATTTACGATATTGCTATAGTACTTGAGTGTTCCTTTACTGGAACAAGATTGGACATTATCATTGGTGCATGATAGACCTGAGTGCAACATATTATTTGGGATCGAGTGGCTTAGTCCGTTCCGCAAAATAGATATTAAAAAAGCGGCTTAACATTACAAACAAGGGCTATCGGGAGGGAAAAGCTAAAGAAAGGAATATGATGCGAGAGATGTTCACTGCTTCTCTCTATGAGGGACTCTAACGTTTCTGGCACGACTTTCGAGGGCACCAGTACCAGGGGGGGCAGGTGAGCGGCGTAGAAGGGTATTGTTCGACTCGACAAAAGCGATAAAGTTGTACGACTCATGGTATTTTATCATATCCCATACGGCGATTGGCAGGGTGAGCAGACATAACGACGAGCCCGACTCAAACACGGCTTCGATTTTGATATCGGCGACGTCTTCGGGGATAGATGTTGCCAGCCACTTTGTCCATTGCTCGACGTTAGGAACGCTTGTCTTTCCCTCCACTAACACAGAGACAAGAACCTTCCCATCAGCCAATCCACCGGTCTTCTGAAGACTGGCCACTTCTCTTGAGAGATTCTGGAGGGGGTGGAGAGTAACTGATGGCTTCTTCTCTGAGACGACATGGACAGGAGTGTACAGGAGGCGGCTCTCGGCATGGTTGGCTTTCTGAACCAGCTTGGCATGCACCTGAGCGACCGTGATTTCCTCCGTCTCTAATGCATTTAGCAAATCAACAAACCGACGAGTCAAGGAGACGTCGATACTGGCCGCCGCTGGAGATTCAAATGCGGAAGCTGCCAGATACTCATAAGCTGTAGGTCCCATTGCCGCGCCAGGGGAGAAACATGAATCCAGCATAACAAACACATCAGCATGAACCCTTGCGGCCAAATCTGCCTCCACGAAGGCCCACGGAATAGAAGTTGCGCCTGGATACGCCGCGCCCCTACGTATTTCGTAAACCTGTTGTTCAATTTTCCAGGAGGAAAATAGCCAGGACCTACATGATATGTAAAGGAGAGATGGCTGCTTAAGATTCGCATCGGAATAACCTTTATACACAATGATGAAAAGGGTAGTCGGGGTGTCGTATTGCAAGATGAGGCTTTGAAGTTTTCCGCGAATAGCAAGGGTTGCATCACGGACTGACGACGAAGGAACGACCACCGAGTCCGTCGCATTGTGAAACCGATTCTGAAAAAGTCGCAAGAGTTCTGCCTCAATATCGGCCAGTCCTATATCATCATTGTCATATTTCAGTGTCAATACGCGGACACAATCGTACCGTTTGTTGGACGGGAGGGCCCTTCCGACAGCCTGATCGATAGACTTCACGGCTTCCCTGAATGACCTTTCGTGATTCAATATGTGGACTGCGCGAGTAATGCAGTGATGAGCCATCTTGACATGCCAATCAATTGAGCTGGTCTTTATAACAAAAGGCTGGGGGTGGGAGGGGAGGGAGACAAGAGTGAAGGGAAACAGAAGTGTGAGAAATGGGATGGTTATACAGCTACTCTTATATCTTAGGGAACCATAATTACGCACTTGCACTGCCAATGTGACATAGACGATAATTCTTTTTGTATTTGAAGAGTGTAAGCAAAATCTTAGAAAGTTAAGATATATTTTCTTCTCGTCTACGACATGATGTCTCAACTTATTTTTGAATCACTGTAATTACTAAGATTAATGGTCCGATAGTACGTCTGTAGGCATTGGTGGACAGAGCAAGAAAATTGGTTTAACATAACCCACGACCGAGCAATGAACCATGTACAACTGAACGAATAACTCCTCCGCAACCACTGGAATTTTGAAGCTCTTCAAGCCCTACAACCATTGTATGGGTTATCTAAAATATCAAATGGTGAGATAATTATCTCCTAGGATAATTCTTTATATGGTATATTTAACTACTTCGCAGCCATTGCAGCGATGTAGAGCTCGTTATTGAGGTATAGTTAGATATAGATTCATTACCTTCATTAACTATCATCACTTAGGGTATTCAAGGGTTGGACCCAAGATCGACTGAGGATCTCGCCATCAAATAATGGTAATCTTTCAGACCGGATTGAACCACATCCGCCCTCATGAGATTCCTTCTTCCAACGTCCAAACAAGAACAAAAAGCTCTGTTATAGTCGAAGCCACTGATTGCTCACTCTTCTTAAAAGCGCACTCACCCTAACTCAGCCCAGTCGCGCGAGCATAAGTGACCGTAGCTATATAGATACCTGTAAACCCTTGTATGCAGGGGCACCTTAATATAGCATCCATTACTTAGTAGATAGCCTCAAGTAGATATTCTAATACTCTATTACTATCATGAAACTGTAGCCAGTTATGATAGATAAGCTATGGATCACGTCTGCTGAGAGGTTTGTACTACGATAGTGTAAAGCACAGCTAGATCTATAAAAAGAATAGAAGTGTACTGATTGGTGCCTACCTGGATTATATTGATATGATTGGTCTTCTTCCACAAAGCCTAAATATCATCAATGTCAAAAATAATGCAATGGTTTGTTTATTTCAATAGCCAAGAGTAGCAGAGTATGGCGCGGCCATCGGGCAATTCTCTTAATACCTGCAAAGAAGCCACTTAGATATCGAGAAGGCAGCAGCCTGCGCCATAATGTTAACTTGTACCAATGTCATCCCGGGCGGTACAAACGAGTGGTATCATCACTTACGGGGGGCCATTGCCATTGTGAACGGGGCACGCCACCGAATCAACCCGCGAGAGATGGTTTTTCACTGTTTCATGGCCCGTTTCCTGATCCACCATGATGTCCTTGCTGCCCTTGCTAGGTCTACGGCACCCGCACTTGATATATTATTTTACAAGTAAGAGAAACAACAGCTGGTGTCAGTAATTCTACATTCAGTTGTGGTACAACCGAGAGGCCCTTGCCGTTATTTAGCTCGTATCTTGTATTTGCCAACTGAAGGTACAAGCCAGTAACAGTACCTTCGCGACTTTGGATCAGGGGTCGTTTTCTCTGGAAGCGGATCAGATTGAACAAAGTCTCATAAGCCTGAAAGCTAACAGCTCATGGGCCATGCCTCCAATCTGCTCTTAGAGATATACCGCACTTCTGCGCTCCTTTTGCTGTTTAACACACGCGAATCTCGCAGTGCCTCAACTCTTTCTCTGTGCGTGAGTTAAGCAAGAAGTGCGCAGCCTGCTACATCATATTAATGGACTTTTTGCGGCGTGTGTCTGTAGTTGCCACCTTAGCTCCAACACTGGTCTTCCCGCTATTCATTGCTGGATTAAATATGAGGTCCACGGGAAGCAGGCCTTCATATGCACCCAAAGCAGTAGCATATATAGCCTGTTGTGTTTCTGCAATATTGGAAAAGACTTGTTAGTATTGGAGGAAATCTGGGCCTCTACCAGCAGGTAGCCAGCTGGAGTTTACTTCACGGCTTCGGCAGCGGAGTTGGAAATTGGCACTCGTTTGGCACTCTATCTGCTGTCGTAATCAACAATCAATCTTACAGAAGCACCTCTTTAATTACTTGAGGGTGTTTTGGGGCTGTCAGGTACATGGGGCGAAGAAAGCCATAGTCTTGACATCGAACAAACCTATGATCTTATTCAACTCTAGAATTCTTGGGCTTTCTCATCCAGAAGTTGTGCGAATCTAGTTCGGGACCCGTTACAAAGAATCTCAACACGCCCTTCTGCTGACAAGATTGCCGAAGGATCCACTCGCCGCCGCCTATATTGTTGACCGGCTCTTCCTGAAAATGCTGACCGTTAGCGCTCATTGACGAGTTTCCGACATCAAGATCTCGGGTAATATACATCGGAACGTTCAACATAGAGCACCGGAATAGACTCAGGGGAACGAATTACAATCTGATGCGTATAGTTCTTCACCCTATAATTCAACAAATAGAATCAACTTGGCTTCCCTTAAACGTAGCCGTCAGGGGTGGACATATTTTCTAGGATCATCCTATTAATGTTTTCATCATTTGGATTTCAGACTGCTGGTGAGGTAACGTTATCTAATTCTCCGCGATGGTATCTTGTAGCTGACTTTATCCAGCCGGCTCTGTTCAGGACTACATCAGGACAAACCAGCTCGCAGTTCACAGCATTCGCGAAATAGGCTGGATCACCGCCATCTTAGTGTTTCTGGCTTTCTTCCTCGGCGTTCAAGCTGGCCCGCTGTTTCATCCATATGGCCACTGGTTATATCGCCGACGCGCGTTAGCCTCTGGCCTCTGCATGGTACCGGGTGATCGCCTTCGTAGCGCTCGGCTGCTACGCCGTAGGTGTCATCCTGATGCAGGGACGACTGCCGACTAACAGTAGCACCAACAAAGCAACCATTGACTCTCGCGCGTTCCGAACCCTCCATCTCTGCTTTCTAACCGTTGCTGTTTTCTCATTCGAATTTATTATTTTCTGCGCCGTCCTCCTACCAACCTACGTCCGAAGTAGGAGGGACAAAAAAGAAAAAAAAAAACATACAACAGCCGGGATTCGCTGGTGGTCACCCACCCAACTACTAACCGGCCGGCGTGTGGCTTAAGTACGGCTGAGCGGACGGGAAGCCCTGTTTTCCACACCCTATGGTCGTATGTGCTAGCTATGACGGTAAAAGTATTTATATAGGGATCTAATTAACAAAAGAAAGCTCTACCGTTATACCTATACCCCGACTACATCATTCTTTGGGCTGCACTGTAGTTTATGACTATAGAACTGCGTTCAGGACAGGGCTCTTGACCTGTTAGCACGCCTACTTCATACGAGTGTATTGCTTCCTATGTCGGGGTTCAACCCTTGACGGGAGTTGTTTTTTTATCGGCGGCTGATAAAATCACCGATAAGCGATAAGGGCGGTGCTCTGCAGTTGAATCCGAACAGATACAACAGTTAAAACCATTACATTGTGGGTATAATGTCTATCTTTTTTGTATATTTTTTGTATCTTGGTGTATTCTTTGGCTGTGGAATATTGGATTTCGGCATTGAGAGGGAATTATCTTGTTCATATGTGAGGTTGTGTCGTTTGGGAGCGATACAGGTGAAGTGCCTCGTTAGAGATATATATTTACACCAAAGGCATATCCTACAACTATAACTGAGATAGATTGTTGAAATGACACAATCAGTATACTGCACACAACCCATAACACCAAAGCGTAGCAAGCCATCAGAGTACATATGCCAGTACCCTACAATGATTTCCTTCATAAAGATGAGATTGAAGGGGGTTCATCGTAGTATGGTGATACCTGCGCCATCATGCACCCTCATATACAGAAAGAATAAGCCGAGAGAATTAAACCAACGAATCCAAATAGATTTACATATAAATTCAAGAGAACCGACTAGAAAAAATATGTAGAGGGATACATTACATTGCCTCAACATGGACACGTTTTGACTACTGGAAGTCCGGAATAGTGTACGAGTATCGGCATGCCGAGACTCGGCCCGATAGAAACCTGAGGCCATGGACACGCATACAACATAAAATAAACAACCATAACATAAAAATTTATTATGCCGAGAACAAAGCCGGGTAGAACCGAGCGTTCATTCCTTCACAGCAACCCGACCAATAGCCATCGGCAGGCTGATTTGATGCCGTAACAGGGAGCGCAATGGAACACAACCGAAGATGCGAAGCAGGGACAGGTGGGGCAGTGAAAACTCTTCTGACGTCCCATTGGCCAATATTCACCAAGCACCAAAGCAAACCAGGCAAACGCACATGACCTCGCTTCCGGCTAGCGCGCGCACTAGCGCGGGAGCGCAAATATAAATATGGAGGAAATCCCATTCATTTAGAAAATCAAGCGACTCTACGTAAGTTCCTCTCCCCCCTACCTTGGGAATCATCAGAACAACGATGAGCAAAACGAAGAATGCCTGCTAACTTTCTTGCCTACAGTTCAAAGAATCACTTTAGAGTAGACGTCCCACCTCTGAACTCTTATAAAGAGCTACAGAATCTCCACCCTTGCTGATGACTGCTAAGTCCTCAATGCCCTCAAGTGAAGCCGTGTTTACTCCCGACTCGACTGTTGGTTTCTGCGAACGACTTGCCTCGGTGAGCTTGGTCCAGTGCCTTCGGTCCAGGGAGTGGTGATGATCTTTACCTTTTCTCGATGTCTTGACTTCGGTCGGTCGGATTTGGTGGGTGTTGAGGAGGTCTGAAAGGTGCTTACATTTCCTTATTTTCCCTTTGATGTTGGGGATTTTACTAGGATTTTGGAGTTTGCTATTATGATACCCAGATTTATTCAAATGAATGTATAATGTCCAAATTATTTTCCCACTCCGTAATCCGCCTTGTAAAGCATGACACATTATCTTGTGCCTTAGAAAAATTTGACAACGGAAAGCACGAAACCGAATTCTGCTGAACCGAAGACTTGGTCGGTCTACCTACCGCCCTAGGCTGTGTGCACCTGTTTTTGATTAGATCTTTCCGCCCTACTGACAATGAAATTGCAATATCGTATTTTATTACTAGTCTAGTTCTATCATGTATCATCCATCGTTCTAGGGGTATCTATCGTTCCTCCAACGTCAATAGTTCATTAACATCATTTAGCATCTGTAGCATTCCCCTCTGGCGTATTCGCACTGGCGTTGCCCCCACCTCCACCTCCTTTAGCACCAGCTTTCTTCGATCGCCCACCGCGTCCCCGAGACGAACCAGGGCCGCCTTCACTCGACTTACCCCCGCGGCCACTACTGTTGCTGTAGTTGCTATTGTTACCGCCAGTATTGGCGGCAGGCTGGGGCTCACTCCGATTCTTGCCACGGCCCTTCTCTCCACTCGGGTTGGCTTTCCGCTCTAGCACCACGACTTGGCTTTGGGCGACCGACACGGGGCTGGCGGCAATTGCCTTCTGTAATCCATCTGGTTCCGCGAAATCAACATATCCAAAGCCCTTCTTCTTGTCAATCTCTACCTTGACGACCTTGCCGAACGGTTTGAATGCCGCTTCTAACAATGGTTCTGTCACACCCTGAGAGGGATTGGCATGCTTGAGGAAGGCCTGCGTCGCTGTGGAAGGTGCAGGTGTTGCTTGTTTCCCTTTCGATTTCGAGGATCTGCCCATTGCAGGCGTAGCACTAGTGGGAGGGGTGTTTGTCCCTGATCGGGGTGTTGGCTCATTGGTCTGTGCAGTATTACTCTTGCCCTTTACGTTTTGTGACGAAGAGCCCCCTCTGGATGATTTTGGCGGCGTTTCCTTCTTGCTCGATTCGGCGCTACCTGTTTCAGTCTTGGATGCGTCCGTCTCCGCTGAAGCGCTCCTGCCTCCCTTGCGACGACCACCTGATGGTGCTAGGCCCAAGTCTCGTTGAAGAATCTTGGCTGCGGCCGCGACGCTTCCCCGTTCCCGCCTGCGTTCCTTGGTCGGTGCCGATTGACCGGGGTCTTTGGGAGAGTTCTGTGCCGTGGACGTTTTGGCATGTTTGGCGACACTGGCTGCCTGCTTATTCGCTGCTCTCACGGCTTCCTTAGTGGCCTTGTCCGCCTTGGATTTCTTTTCGCCCTTCTCCGCGGGCTGCGACGTCTCCCTATCGGGCCGTTGCAATAGCTTCTTCGCCTGGACCTTTTCTGCCTTGGTCTCTTTATCCGCTTTGGCGTGCTTTGAGGATTTACTCGAACTTTCCTTCGCTTTGCTGGCCTTCTTTTCTTTGATGTACTGTACCAAGGGCGTAGTGGTCACGGTTTCCTTTTTCTCCTCCCCGTCCGTGGTGTTTTCGACCGTAGGCGGTTTGGTGATCGGCTGCGTCAGACTTTCTAGGAAAGCAATGAAATCGGGATCCTGGTCGATCGTTCCCAGGCGGATATCTTTCCGTACACGGCCTCCGGGAATTTTCGCATACGGCGCATATTCCACGGAGGGAGGGCCTAACAGGATAGGATCGTTGAAGGTGTTTCGAGCGTCCATGAAAGATGCCTGGCGGACCGTGTTCGAAAATGGAATGATGTGATCGCTGGAGACAACATGGACGTAGGCACGCGAGGGTCGAGACGGCTTAGCTGGGCTGTTCAGTAGGTTAGATATCAATACGCACGAAGTCAGTAGACCACAGCCGGACGCTCACTCTTTGGAAACCTTGCCCGGCTTGTACTGAAGCCAGTCGATCTTGCCAGCTCCGATCTTCCATTCAGGGCCCACTGCAGTTTCAAATTCTGCCTGTGTTAACCCTGGGGGTAGTCTCCGCACGAGAAGCTTGAGTCGTGGTGCGGCTGGCTTGGGAGCCTTCTTGGGTGCAGAGGTGGCCGGGTTAACTGTAGTGTTCTTCTGCGTAGCGGCGATAGGGATCTGCAGAACACCCCCTGGTGATTTTCCGGCAGATGCCTGTGTCATAGTGTCAGAGATCTACACTCCGAACGGAGTGATTGCGGGGGAGGGGTTTCCTCGAAAAGGAATAAAGGGTTGGGAAGGTGAGATGCGGCTGTAGAAGGGATTAGAATGAGAGATCAGAAAAATGAATTCTCCGATGGAGAGCCGCACGAGGACTGGTGTGAGGGGGGATGAAGGAATGGGGTTGAGAGAGACAGAGGCAAGTTAGACTGCAAAAGCATGATAACTCCGTTACGGGACACCGGAGCCGCCAATCACGCGACCGTTGATTAATTCACCACGTGTGGGGGACGACGGCGTCACTTGATTTATCATTCAATTCAACTCGATCTTCTAGATCTTCGTCCCTCATTAAAAGAGGACGGCGGTCATTCGATAATTAATTCTATATTTCTAACCCCCTTGTCACATCATTCTGCTCTGACTCCCACTCTTGAAGCACCCCTCAACCGCCCCCTTTGCTCAGCGCTCCTTCTACACTCACCATGGTCGATAGTAAAATCCCACAACCTGGACCGGCGAAATTGAAGCGCAATGCCGGTCCCGATGAATGGCTGGAGGCTGCGAAAGATTGCAAATATCTTTCCGAGCAACATATGAAACAACTATGCGAGATTGTGAAGGAGTTCATGATGGAGGGTAAGCGGTTCCCACCAAGGGAGGTGGTGGTTCTTCCCCGTAGGCTCACTTGCGCGCGCGTCTAGAATCAAATGTACAACCTGTATCGACGCCAGTCACGATTTGTGGAGATATACACGGCCAATTCTACGATTTGCTGGAGCTGTTCCGAGTCTCTGGCGGCATGCCGGACGAGTCTGACGTCGAGCCTCCGAAAACATCACCGTCTGTCATCACCTCAGCTGATATCGAGCCCCCATCGTCGATCACGGATCCGAAGCTGCGGAAGAAGTTGAGAAACTCTGGATCGCCTGTAGAAGGTGGAGATGAAACAAGCTTCAATGCAAGTCAGAGAGAGCGCTCCTCTAGTGCTGGATCCAATCAGGTGACGCTTAATCGGAATTTCGTCTTTTTGGGCGACTACGTCGATCGAGGATACTTCAGTTTGGAGACTTTGACACTATTACTATGCCTGAAGGCAAAGTCAGTCATACTCGCGCCCTACTTTCGGTACCACTCAATACTAATGAACCCTTCGGCAGGTATCCGGATCGGGTAACGCTGGTGCGCGGAAATCACGAGTCTCGACAAATTACGCAGGTTTATGGCTTCTATGAGGAATGCTTCCAGAAGTACGGGAATGCGTCGGTCTGGAAAGCTTGTTGTCAGGTTTTCGACTTTATGACACTCGGCGCTATCATCGATGGTAGGGTTTTGTGTGTACACGGTGGGCTCAGCCCGGAGATTAGGACCCTGGACCAAGTTCGCGTAGTTGCCAGAGCTCAAGAAATTCCTCACGAGGGTGCTTTCTGTGACCTGGTTTGGTCCGACCCTGACGATGTGGAGACATGGGCAGTCAGCCCAAGAGGCGCAGGTATGTCGTTTTCTGTTCGCTACTACAATGACACTTGGACTAACATATATCTAGGCTGGTTGTTTGGAGATAAGGTGGCGGATGAATTTTGTCACGTCAATGATTTGACACTGATCGCCCGTGCGCACCAACTGGTCAACGAGGGCTACAAATACCACTTTGCGAACCAGAACGTTGTGACGGTGTGGAGTGCGCCAAACTACTGCTACCGTTGTGGCAATCTGGCGTCTGTCTGTGAGATCAATGACGACCTCAAACCCACATTCAAGCTCTTCAGTGCTGTCAGCGATGATCAACGACACGTTCCTACATCGCGACCGGGCCGTAGCGAGTACTTCTTGTAAATTGTTGCGTCGTCTTGATTTCGTTCTACAGTTTTTATTTTGGGCATACGGATGATTCTACGGTTCTATGGTGAATACTCGACTTGCACCCGGCGCTGGCGTTCGGAGAAATCGCTCATGTGAGATGTTCCGCAGAGAGTGACAGATGATGGGCACGTTATATAACGATACTAGAGCACAATTAACGATGTTTATGTTTGAAATCTGAGATGCATTTTAGTTATAGTCAAAACGAGGCGCTTGGTCTACTCCAAAGCTCTACGGCAGTAAGTGGAGCCCGCTAACCTGTCAGTTTGTTTTTTTCATATCTAGAGTATTAACCCACCATATGACGGACTGTTCTGTATCTTTCTCCACAGCGGAAATTTGTGGAGGAATACAGACATTGACCAGACCGAGGCCCGTGTTGATTTGCCGGCCCCGGAATCCATCCCGGGGTATTCTCGGGATGGATTCCGGAACCCAACATAAGAATCAGATAGTGGCACATGCAAGGCAATCCAGAGGTTTCACAACCAATTTAAGCGCTTATATCTATCTTAATTACCTATCTTTAAGTGCTGAAGGACACACATACCCCGAGACAAACATGGTGGAGAAAGTCGACGTCCTCATCTGCGGAAGCGGATCTGCAGGCCTCTGTGCTGCTACATGGCTCGCGCGCTATGGTATCCGTTGCAAGGTGTTAGAACGCCGTGACGGGCCCATGACTATGGGTCAGGCGGATGGGGTACAGTGCCGGACGGTGGAGATCTTTGAGAGCTTCGGGATCGGCGAGGAGCTGCTGCGAGAGTCCTACCATGTCTTGGAGGTTGTCTTCTGGGCTGACAATGGTTCCGGCGATATCAAACGCACTGGGCGAACAGCGGATGTGCAGCCGGGGCTGTCGCATCAGCCACATGTGATCTTGAATCAGGCGCGTATAAATGGGTTGTTTATTGAGTCTATGCAGCGGTTCAATAACCAGGAAATTGATTATGGGTACGATATCAAGGATGTCGAAGTGGATAGTTCGCTCGTCAATGATCCCCATTCGTTTCCAGTGAAGGTGACGGCTGAGAGGGAAGGGAGAAGCGAGGTCTTTGAGGCAAAATATGCTCTGGTATGTTTGATCCGGCCTCGGGATACTGTTGGGTTGATTCAAAATCTAACGTGGTTTTGTTATAGGGGTGTGACGGAGCACACAGCACCGTGCGTCGTTCACTTGGATATGCAATGATCGGTGACAGCAGCGATGCAGTCTGGGGTGTCATGGATATGGTTCCTCGCACAAACTTTCCAGATATCCGGAAGAAATCCACTATCCGTTCCAAGGCGGGTAATTTACTGATTATTCCCCGCGAGGGCGACGCCTGCAATCTAACACGGTTCTACATCGAGCTGCCACCGGGGACCAAGGCTAAAGAGGTCAAGCTAGAGGACCTACAACAGTCCGCCAAAGCTATTCTTAGCCAGTATAACATAGAGTTTACTCAGACGGTGTGGTGGTCCGCGTACGCAGTTGGCCAACGCCATGCGGACTTCTTTCATAAGGATTACCGCGTCTTTTTGGCGGGAGACGCCTGTCATACCCATTCCCCCAAGGCCGGCCAGGGAATGAATGTCAGCTTGCAGGACGGGTATAATATTGGCTGGAAATTGGCCACCGTCCTGAAAGGATTGGCGCCGCCGTCCTTGTTAGAGACATATGTTCTTGAGCGGCAGAAGGTGGCTATGGATCTGATTAATTTCGACCGGTACTTCTCGAAGCTTTTTTCGTCTGCCGGGAAGGCGTCTCCTGCCGAATTCCAGGAGGGCTTTATCAGATCTGGGGAATACACCGCCGGCTTGACGGCCAGATACGATTATTCTCCAATTACTCTCGACGAGGATGGGTTGCAGAAGCTGTCTACCAATATTGTGACTGGCATGAGATTACCCAGTTCAAAGGTAGTGCGATTCTGCGATTCAAAACCTGTACAATTGATGACAGCATTGAAGTCTGATGGTCGCTGGCGCGTAATGGCTTTTGCGGGCGATATCAGCCAGCCTAAGAATAAACCAAGATTGGATGCGGTAAGTTTTGAGGATATTTGACTTACCTTCTTACTCTTACTTATAGTTATAGCTTGGAAACTACTTAAGCTCAAATGAGGGTCCCTTGCACCGCTTTCGTCCGAAGGATGCCGACATGGACAGTGTGATCGAACCTATCCTAGTGGGCTACGGGAAGCGACACAGCGTCGAACTGGAAGAGATTCCCGAATGCTTCTACCCTTTTGGGGGAAAGAATCAGATTAGAGGTAAGCCTCTAGTTCCACTCTAAGCCAGTGGCATAAAATTGAATTAATCAATAGATCTGCACAAAATATACTTCGACGACGAAAGTTACAACAAAGGCCATGGCCGTGTCTATGAGCACCTCGGAATCAATCCAGAGAAAGGAGCCATTGTGATCATCAGACCAGATCAATGTAAACCTCACTACTATCCCACGTTAGACTGCCATAAACTAACAAAATCTAGACGTCTCTGCTGTAATTGCAATAGACGACTACAAGCAGATCGGCTGCTTCTTCGAAGGGTTCCTCATTCCTCAAGGAGACCATACCCTATCCGAAAGTAAACGATAGGCATAAATTTTATACCAAATGTATATCCGAAGTGTATAACATAGCCTACACGTAACAATCATGAATAACACTTGCCATCCACGCAGTCTTAGCAAGGACCCCCAAATTCACCCTCCGTAAGAACAATAAGGCAAAACCTCCCGATAAACCCCCTCCTCGGACCTAGTAACCCCTTCCCCAGAAGGGTCCCTCTTTAACAAAAACCTCTCCACCTGCGCACTCCCAAACCCCAAACTAACGGCTCGCCGGCGCCGAGAATCCATCAACTGCCCACCAGACCGATCGCCAGAACTTTTCGCGGAAAAACCGTCCTTGTAAATCTCTTTTGTAGAGAAAAAAAACTGCATAAACACTCCAACAACAAATAGCAGTATAACCACCCGCCGACTCCGCAGGTCCTGCGCCAGACTGGAGGAGAATGGTATTGGGGTTCGGGGATTATCTTTTGAGTTATCGTCGCGCGACTTAATTTTGAAAGTTTTGTTCGCTGGTTGCTGCTGCGTTGGGTTATACAGGATCTCAGGTGCGGATAGTAACTGTTGGAAGCGGATACGCACTGCCTTTGAGAGAGGCAGGTGAAGGGTGTTTAGGTGGGATTGTTTTATGAGGCTGTAGAGCTCTTGGCGTAAGTTTAGGGTGGGATATGCGGTTTGTTCTGAGGTTGAAAGTGGTTTATGGCGGTTGTTGATGCGGATGGGTGTTATAGCGGTGATGGTACTGTGGTGCGTAGTCCGCGGGCTTGTTGGATAAGGAGAGGGGTACTGGGTGTTCGCGGAGAGGTATCTGGTAGGAGAGATGCGTGGCCGGCACGCGGCTTTTCTGAGATACATGAGGAATAAAAGGTAAGGGCAGAGGATGTGTTTGACCCGTACAAGGCGGGTGTACAGTGATGATATACGATTGCATCGTCTACGAGGGTACCTAGACCACTGCGGCGATAGGCATGCGGAGCCTTGAGCTGGACTATAGGTCAAGAGTGAGGAGAAGAGGGGTTTGGGCATGCCGAATGCTGATCGGAGGAGATCATGTTGCAGATACCTTGTGAGGTTGAGCAAGTTTTGGCGATCATGTTACAGAAAGTTAGATGGTATGCAGAGATATTTGTTCCATACTGTGAGATACTTGGCAGAAAGTCAAGTGAGATTTCTAGATACCCAAATTTTAAGAGGCTGCCAGCAGTATATGGTAAAGTTATAGAGCTCCTAGGTAGGTTGGTGGTGCATATCCATGCCACCCTTACATGAAGCTTGAGCATATTTGAGAAGGTTTGTCATCGCGTTCTATATCTGGCGCTGAGGGGTCGTAGACAATGGTGTCGGCAGTTCCCCTTATGTACTACTGAATTATAGCCTTCGACTTTGAGAAAGTCAATAGTTAATCATAATCGGTAGCATGTATTTATTGAGTTGAACGTGGATGTTGGTCTGATCCATCGTTCGACTGGGCACCGCGCAGAGCTTGGATTTCTATTGTGGGTTTCGCCTGCTTAAAGTACGGAGGATTCATTTCGATTGTATGATTTAAACGTATGGTATAAGTCTTTCAATGCACATCATCTAGGAAATGAATGAGGTAGACTAAGAATGGCATCAGAATACTAGTTAATAATACGAAATCGATGCATCAACATATTCCGCTAGCAAAGCGTGAACTATGCTTGAAAAGAAATGCCCTGCTTAATAGCTTCCAACGGTAAGATAGAGTCTTTGTATAAACATATTAAGGACGAACGTTATAATACATACTGTTATAAGAAGAGATCAAACAAAAATCCCAACAACATCTCATTATCCGTCGTGGCATGATCCGTCCTGCCAGCCTGCTGCTTGTTGAGTATACCTCCCCATAGTGAGCTCACCCACCACGATGCCCGCCAGTACTGCGCAGAAGATGCCTACGTTGAAAGTCATGACTGCTAACATTCTATGAGAAAACTGATCAGTCTGTATTAGTTTTCACAAAGAACGCTCTCCACTCACAGGATATATCCCAGCAGCGCGCGAAGGCCTTCTAGGAGTGACCGGCCTCCATCTTGCTGCCAGCTCCAAGGGCCACGTGGGACCCATTTCCTGAAAATCGTGCCAAAGCACTTTTGAACACGCGATTGTTTCACACTGCCGGGAACTAACTCTCTCCGTTCGTCGTCCAACAGTGGTGGAGGAGATGGAGGTGGTGGCGATGGTCTGTCGAATGAATCGTTTGGGTTGACCTGCATGTACCGTGGGAGAGGACTCACTCGATCTTTTGAGATCATTCGGCTCCGATACAATGCGGGTGGTTGTCCTATAATTGGCACCGGAAGACCAGGATTGCGGACAGAATTGATCTTAAGCTCCACTTGGAACTTGAGTGCTCCAAGGAAGCGATTGAACCAGGCAAGTAGGAACAAGAATGCCAGTGTGAGGAGATACGAGGTCACGGAGTTGGTCGTCCAGCCACCAAAGAACAAAGTTACCTTGGTTCCAGTAGTGAAAATGGCGGACATGGACATATCATGGTTACTGTGACCATGGGTATGCTCGGCTGTCCCATTTTGCATGTTCATATTTATATCTCTATGACCAGCGACATGCGATTGAGTTTCATATCTGTACCGAAATGAGTAGGGCGATTCCTAGTTTATATGCAAGGAAGCCTTGGGGCCATGGACTGCGCCCGTATATTTTAGGGGCTTTTTGTTGTCATGAGATTTAATTTAGGAGATGCATGAGCACTTAAGAGCTGAAAAAATTCGGGAATTTACGAGTGCTTTGCCTCCGTATATCTTCAATGTCGAGAAGGGATTACTTTCTTCGGTCCAGGGCCGTCTTTTTGCCTTTTTACACCATGTCTAACCCGTAGGGCGAGATTGAGAATGGTCCTATATACACAACTAATCACCCTAATGTACGTATATACTGGAGTGTAGAAAGAGGGCCTGTTTCTAGGTCTCTACAGCTATCATATGGCATTATTTGACTCGTTCTTGGCGTTGTTTAGTGGTCGTGCTGATCGTGGTGGTTGGTAGAGTGTTATCAGCGCAAATGTGCTCAATAGTCTCCACCATCATGCAGTCCGTTTTAAATATGATCTTTCCACCATAACTCGCAAAGGCACTGTAGGCAGAGGCTTGGCAATTATGAGCCCAGTAAACGACACATTTCTAACATCCTTCCTTTACCATTTATAATACACCAACACATCGCAGCACACACGGTCTCGCCTAGTTTCACCCTCTATAATTCTAGTACACTACGACTTTAAAAACCAAAGTTTGCAATATTTGGGTTCAGGGGACTCGTTGCTTTCTCTCGAATCCATATCTTGGCTAATTAGCTCGACATCCCTCTCCCGATCACCACGGGGAAAGATACACAGATATATAACAGCCACTGCCTCAACATAAGCTGGTATGGTCTTCATATCGCATTTGCTGACTTGACAAAGTATTTCGTTCTTCAACTTCAACTAGTGCCGAGTATGCAGCCTGTGACTCGTGGTTGCTTTACTACATTCTCCTGTGACCTAGCCTGGTAAGCCACCTCAAAATAATCGGAGAAATTCGAAATAATTTATTAGTTGATCCTGAAATTCTAGCTGTATCAGCACATACATGTGTAGGATAATGAGAGGGTCCGTCGAGTTATTGACTTTCCCCTACCTATAAATAAGTTTTGGCTATATGAGACTACCACATGAGCGGACTCTAACATCAATGTCCCTTATCGAAGGAAATAACAACGGGCAACCTACTTTCTTGCTGTTCTATGGGGCAACTTTCAATCCAGCACTTCATATTATAAGCAAATAGTCTTGAGTAAAACCGAGTCTTTGCAAAATCCCATTCGTCCACGATGGCACCAAAAATTTTCTAGTTTTTGTGCTGATAACTTGATTGTACATGGATGCGATTGTCGTCCGTTATAGCGGGAATGCATAAACGCTATAGTAAGTGGGACTACAACCACACTTAAAACCCAAAGTGATTGCTGCATGCATATCAAGTTTCCATGATAGGCTCACCCAGGACTGATAGGTATAATTTCCTTTTTGGGCGTAGAGCGAGGGTTATATTCAATATAAAAATTGTGGGGTAATTTTATGGTGACAAGCTTTATCCAATTTATGAGTCATCAGACATGTATAACCCCTTCAAAACCCACTCGCATGCATGCATAAAACCGCCGGATCCAACTCACATATCAACAATCTACTCCACTGAACCACTTCTCTCCCCGAAGATATCTAACAACAAAACATCCGATCATTCAAGCAAATTAACAATATATTAAGAATGCCTCAAGACCTCACCTTCTCAATACCACCTCACCTTGATGAGTTCAACACCCCCCTCTCCACCTTCATAGCGTCAAAACCCCAATGGACAAATTTTGTAGTCGGGGGGCTTGTCTTCTCTCGTGCTACACCCAATGCCCAAAAAGGCAAGATTGAAAAATCCGAACCAAGAGTTCTTCTCCTCCAACGCGCTCCAACCGACTCCCTTCCTGGATATTGGGAGGGCCCGGGCGGGGGCTGTGAAGAGTCTGATGAGTCAATCCTGGCAGCTGTTGTACGTGAAGTGGTGGAGGAGAGCGGGTTTCATGTGTCGAGGATTGTGGATTTAGTTGGGGTGGAAGAGTGGACGAAGGAGAGCAATGGAACTATGTTGTTTGCGGTGAAGTTCACGTTTTTGGTGGAGGTTTATGAGGCGCAGGGTGTTCTGGGGGAGGGTGCTGCGGAGACGGAGGAGGAGGAGAAGAAGGTGGACGTTGGGGGTGAAGCTGTCCGGTGGTGGGAGGATAGAGTGAGACTGGCGCCGGGTGAGCATTCAGCGTTTGAATGGGCGACGGAGGAGCAGGTGAAGCTGGGGTTGGAAGGGAAAGGGAAGTATAAGATCTTGGAGGATGAGAAGAGGAATCTTTTGAAGGCATTTCGCATGCTGGTTTAGCAATTAACCAGCGAAGAGGCGTGGGTCTGAGTAAAGGGGATCCATGATGGAGTCTGGAATGGCCTATAGAAATGCTATCGAAATGCGATACTATAATGAACATGATATATTGCGACGTTCATGATGACTGACAACCCTTGATGTTGTCTATCCGATGGCTGGTTCAAACTGGATACTACTCTGTTAGCCAGTAGATTAAATTCAAGCCAAACTAGAGGTAAAGGTGATATGCATCTAGGGCTGCATCTACATGTACACAAAGTTTGGTGGCAAAAGGATAGGCACCCATGGACCGAGGCAACGTGTTATGTGTCAAACGAACACTTGGTATATCTCATGACAGATCATCCTCGGCAGGAAGAGCTCCGTTGGCTTGCTTGCTAAGAGCAACGCGGTCGACGTCCTTCCACACGCGTAGCAAGTTACCCCCCACAATCTTGCCGGCATCCTCATCACTAACTCCCCTCCTGAGGAGTTCAGCAATTAAGTCTGGAAATTTGGAGACATCCTCTAGTCCGCGAGGAACAGAAGCGATACCGTCAAAGTCGCTGCCGATTCCGACATGATCAAACCCGATGAGATTCCCGATGTGCAGTATATGATCGGCAACATGCTCTAAAGTGGCATTCTCAGGATCCGAGTCAGGCAGACCGTTCGAGTTATTCCCAGCTGTACACGAGACGAAGTCGGGGGCAAAGTTAATCATCACCACGGAGTTCCGTGATTTGACCAACTCTAGCACGTCGTCCGGGACGTTACGTGGATGAGGGCAGACGGCATATGCGGAACTATGGCTGAAGATGACTGGCGCACTACTGCCCGTCCAGTCATCCTTGCCTGCACCAAGGACGTCTCGCATGGTCTCGACGCTTACATGGGCCAGATCGACAATCATTCCGAGTCGATTCATCTCTGATACCAGGGCTTTGCCGTCCTCACTGATACCGTGCCACAGAGGATCGGCCTTCTTCACGCCGCCGTCTGGGAGCTCGGTGAGAGCAGCATCGGCGTAGCGATTATGACAATTATGTGTCAGAGTGGCATAGGATACACCTTGCGCATAGAAATGTCGTAGATAGGCAAGCGAGTTTCCAATGGAGTGGAGGCCCTCAATACCCATAGGTGAGATGATCTTCCCGTCTAGGAAGGCTTGAAGAGCCGTGGTGCCATTCGGAGGCGTGGAGAAGGTGTCCGGATAGGCTTGCTGCAGGCGGAGCCACAAGTCTACCTGCTCTATCGTTTCCCGTATACCTGGTGAAATTTAGTGCTAAGCTACGATAGGAGATTGTGTTAAGGATGCCCCTTACTCAGTGCGTAATTTTCATCAGAAAAGTCCTGCCAGTTCTTGGGGCAAGGTACAAAAACGCTCCAAAACGTGCCACCGACTCTACCCTTGGATAGCCGGGGCAGGTCGACATGCCCAGGGAAGCCACCATGAACGAATTCCGTAGTGAAATTCTCTTGGTAGATGTGGTTTCCATATTTCGCACGGATGAAAATCGGAAGATCATCATGGCCATCTATATTCTGTTTTAGCAAGTTGATCTTGGATCATTGGTATGAAGTTAATTCTCACCGATCAACGGGGTTTTCTGCAGGATACGCTCTACTCTTTCTTCCACGGTCAAGGGCTTCTGGTGCCCTGAGATACCGTTTTCCAAGGTGTCTGACCCAAAGCCATTCGCGGTAATGAAGAGAAGAAATGCTAGGAGAATAACAAAAAGCGTTCGCTCCATCTTTCGACGGATGGAGTATTTTGTTGGTGGCGGTCGCGTAGGAGCTTGCTCTTCAAGATTGAAAGACTGTGTTAGGTATTCTTTCTCTTTCGAGAGCATATGTGTCTTACTACTCATGGTAGACAGTGTTGGCGGGGAAGATTCTATATATAGTGTGTTTTAGGAGGCTGAGACGCAATGCCTCGGCAGCTCTGAGTGCTGTCACTCCGCTGGTATGTTTTTATGACGTGCGCCGGCGGTTTGTTAAATTGGCGAACCGCAAGGATCATGGAAACGGATACGCGCGGGAATCGCAGGTTATTTAAGCACTTCACCTTACGAGGGATGGCGCTATTGCGTCTTTTAATATAGATTGGGGTGGAGAACGATCGGAAGCACTGATTTTCGGCGTACTCATTGGCTCTATGGCTCAATTAGGAAGAAATAATAGATCTTTCACCAAGGACCATTTCTCAGGTCCTCATTCGAAGATATGTGCATTAGTGTAGTAGTTGTTGAGAATTGAGATCAGTTGTTGAATTAGGTCTCCAGCCACGACGGGGCGCGGGAATACCATATACGGTAACCGTGCGGGAGCCAATCAGCATCCAGGTGAAAAATTCTCGTGACATCGAAGTTTCTCTTGCCTGGCAGTTTTCATTGAAAGTCTTTTCTTCTAACTCTCCGAGCGGCTATTCGCCAGAACACACCGTTGCGGGAGTCAAATCGGTTTGCATCTCTGATACTCGCGGATTTCCCATATCTGCTTTTGCGACAAGGCTTTTGTTCGAATTCGACGGAGTGCAATGCTGCAACAGGTTTCCCCACTGCCCCTCTTTATCACTCCGGCTTGAGTATCTATCTCTACGAAAAGAGGTGTTGAACTCTCTCGAATCGATTACGCGACAATAGTGTTACCGTGGATTCTATAACTGATCATGGCGGAAGTTTCCTTCATCGAAGGTACATACTCTCTTCCATGCTTGTTTTCACCCCTCCACAAAACAAATACCTTACTGATTGCGGCCTCTGAGTTCAGGCTTATTGACCTTCTGGCATTCCTATCGTCTCCCTATTCTTATCGCTGTCACTTCAGTCGCCATCGTTCTGCGAGTCTATCAGAAGTCTCAACCCAAGTCTAAAGCTGTGTCTGCTTCCTCTATACCTCCATCTCCCCGGAGCCAGTCCCCAGACAAATTCGAGAAAGTCTGCGCCAGCAACAGTGAGAAACTGGTGGTCACGGAGAAAAGCGTTCCAAACTCTGCTGTTGGGAATGAGTCTGCCCCGAAGGTTGCGTCTGGCCCCAAGAGAGTGTCTGGTAAAAAGCCGCTCAAAGTTGCTGGGCGCGGCCGGGGATCGGACCAGGGACCTCCAGTGTCTTTCATTCAGCCTATCATATTCTTTGCCTCGTTAACTGGGACGACGGAAAGATACGCTCAAGTACTGCTAGAGGACTTGCGGGCTGCAGCCAAGGAGAGAGCCGACCCGGAGAACCGCGACCGTGGCCTTCTTCCTCCTCAAATCCACGATCTTTCTTACATAGACTTCGACGACTACTTCACCACGGCACCAAAGCCTCCATCCACCTCTCCTGGCACACGCTATGTATACTGCTTATTGATCCCGACTTACAACATCGACACGGTCCTCAACACTTTTCTTGGCCATTTGGACGAAACCCACCATGACTTCCGCATTGATACCTCATCTTTGTCGACCTTGGCTGGATATTCCGTGTTTGGGTTTGGCGATAAAGAAGGATGGCCCACGGAAGAAGAAGGATTTTGCTCGCAGGCCAAAGAGTTGGATCGATGGATGGCTAAGCTTACTGGAAAGAAGAGGGCGTATCCCTTGGGATTCGGTGATGTGAAGAATGATGCTGAATCTGCCTTGAAAGAGTGGTCCCGCGGCTTGCAGGAAATTTTGTTGGACATCCTAAACAATGGTGGTCTTGGTGAAGGCGTTCCGGGTAGTGGCGATCCGCTTGAGAGTGACGAAGAGGACTTGGACGATGAAGAGAACGACGGAAAACGCTCCAAACGACGCAATGGCCAAGATGTAGTTGACTTGGAGGATATCAAGATGGGCTCCTCCGATGGTCAGGCGGGATCCGGTCCTGTACCAGTGGATTTCACTACTACGGGCAATTCCGTGGCACCTAGCCAATCGACTGAGAAGGAAATGGTTCCCAAGACGTCCCCCACATACGCGGCACTCACGAAACAAGGTTATACTATCGTTGGCTCTCACTCCGGTGTAAAGATCTGCCGTTGGACTAAGTCCGCGTTGCGTGGTAGAGGTTCGTGTTACAAGTTCTCGTTCTACGGCATTCGATCTCATCTGTGCATGGAGGCAACTCCTTCGCTTTCCTGCAGCAACAAGTGTATTTTCTGCTGGCGCCATGGTACCAATCCCGTTGGGACTACTTGGCGTTGGAAGGTTGACTCACCCGACCTGATCTTCCAAGGTGTTAAGGAGGGCCACTACAAGAAGATTAAGATGATGCGTGGCGTTCCTGGTGTACGTGCAGAGCGATTTGCGGAGGCGATGCGTATTCGCCACTGTGCCTTGAGCTTGGTCGGGGAGCCGATCTTCTACCCTCATATCAACGAATTCTTGGACATGCTGCATAACGAGCACATTTCTAGCTTCCTGGTGTGCAACGCTCAACACCCTGACCAGCTTGAAACCCTACACCGCGTAACTCAGTTGTACGTATCAATCGATGCTAGCAACCGTGAAAGTCTGCGCAAGATTGACCGCCCGCTTCACCGAGATTTCTGGGAGCGATTCCAGCGGTGCCTGGATATTCTTCGGGAAAAGCGTCACTTTCAGCGGACTGTCTTCCGTCTCACGTTGGTCAAAGGCTTTAACGTTGACGATGAGGTGATTGGCTACGCGAATCTTGTCGAGAAGGCATTGCCATGCTTGATTGAGATCAAGGGTGTGACCTACTGTGGTACTAGCACTAGCGCTGGTGCGGGATTGACTATGCAAAACGTCCCATTCTATGAAGAGATTCAGGAATTTGTTCTTGCTCTAGATAAGGAGCTGCAGGGCCGTGGGTTGGATTACGGAATTGCCGCCGAGCATGCACATAGCTGTTGTGTGTTGCTTGCCTCGAAGCGTTTCTACGTGAACGGTAAATGGCATTCTCGCATTGATTACGACCGGTTCTTCGAACTTCTGGAGAAGGAGAAAGCCGACGGTACACCGTTCCGCCCTGAGGACTACATGAAGGAGACGGAAGAGTGGGCGTTGTGGGGTAACGGTGGCTTCGATCCGAACGATGAACGTGTTTATAGGAAGGGCAAAAAGAAGGCTCTCCAGGCACCGACTGAGTGATGAAGTGGCCTTTGTCCTTCTCTTTTCTCAAATCAACCATGCTCATTTGGAGCCTATTCTCACAGCAGTGACTTTGATGCCATTATCTGCTGATATCTCCCAACGTTATGCTGGGTACAAAAGATCCATCGAGAGACCGATAGTCTAGACGGAAGGTTCTGTCTTTTTATAAGCGGGCCCTGAAATTTCCTCTTGGGGCATTTCGCAAGAAAGGGCGGCGACTGGTTTTACAGTCCTAGCGTTTACGAGGAGTGTCTTGAGATGCGATTAGATATCGCAGATCAATGAACGTACGCCCCAGCATTGGAAGAAATGGGGCTTGTTTAGTGTAGCATATGCGTTGCTATTCTATTGACTCTAAATGAGGATCAACACTTTAAAACCTGTACATAAATATTCAAATCATAAACATGTTCTACGCGAGATATTGCGCCGGTTTCTAAACCTCCCTGGATAATTTCATTTCAAGCAAACACTGACATCTGATACTCGTTAGAACACTTTAAATCCCTGACAATAAACCACAACATTCGAACGCAAACTGGCCAAGAGATCATCTACACAGGAGTCGCAGGCTGACCATCCGAAGAACCCGAGGCTCTCTCATTGCTTAACGTCCAAGTCTTAAAATCCCGCACAGGAAGGTGCAATTCAAACATCCGATCAATTTCAATCGGCGTTCGGTCCTTCATCTCAGGCACGATGTACCACGTCGCCGCCAGCGACAGGAGACCCAAACCAGTATACACGAACCCCGTCTTCCCGCGTAGATCACCCTGGTCAGGATTGAAAATATACGGCAAGACAAGACCGAAGACCCCGTTCGAAAACCCGCTCAACACCCACCCCAAGCCCTGTGATTTGGCCCGCAGCCGGAGCGCAGATGCTTCGGCGCCCACGGCATAGGACGCGGGCCAGGCTGTTGCGCCGCAGAGGCTGGTCACAAGCATCATTGTGACGGCGGACCACCTGGATGTTGATAGTTAGATGGTAGAATGTCAAGGGAGTATCGGTAGCGACAAGTAGGCTTACCAGATGGTAACAGTGCCTTTGAAAAAGCCTAAGATGCCCATGCCAGTCCACAGAAACGTTGAGGTAGCCAAACCGAACAGTATAAGCGGCACGCGATTGAACCGGGATAAGGTCCACATGCTGACAATGTTAGCGACCAGGCCAAGCGCGATGCCTACCTCCAGAAACATGAGGCTGGCGGTTGCCTCCATGCCGACGATCTGAAGGAAATAGCTGGACTTTGCGATGAGGGTTAGACCGAAGAGCTGGGGGATCATACTAGCGAATAGCACGATCATTGTCCGGCGTCGGTTGTTGCCTCGGAAGCACTCGAGGTAGGTGGCTGCGTGGTTTTGGGCTTCTTCGTCTTCGTGGCGGATGGATGAGCGCAGTTTCTCGAGGGATGCGTCTGAGTCTACGTTTGAGGAATCAAGTCGGCGCTGCGCTTTTCGGGCTGCATCTATTCGGTTTCGCCGGATGAGCCAGGTAGGGCTCTCTGGGAGGAAAATGGAGACGAGAAGGGGGAGAGCTGAGAAGGGCCATTCTGAGATGAAGCATTTCAGGTAGCCGCTGGGGCCTTTCTCCTTTACAGATGTGAAGACGACGACGCTGCCGAAGAGCTGGCCTAGTAGCGTGAAGAGAGGGAAGAATGCTAGGATTGGTCCGCGCAGTGTGGCAGTTAAGATCTCTGACATGTATGTTTGTGCTGTGCACATTAGCATATTGACAGCGTAGCCCTGAATGAGCTTGGCCACGAAGAAGACCGATCGCCGGCCATCGATCCCAGCTGGGAGGTTCGATACATAGGCGATTGCAACGCCTATCGCCGATACGATGCTTGCGAGCGCCAGGGAAGAGCGACGGCCTAGGCGGTCTTGCACGTAGCCTCCGATGAGGGCACCGAATAAGCCTCCGATAGGGTTCGCGACGTTCCAGAGACCCAGCCAGAGGGACGGAATGATTAAATGGCCGTTAAGTTTGCGACCGAAGTCGCGCCTTTCTAGGTTAGCCTTTTGGGCAGTGTCTAGGGTATAGTTTAGATGTTCCTCACTGAAACTCTGGCATGGAGGAGACGTTGGACACAATGGCCAAGTCATAGCCGTACAGTATGATGCCTGACGTGAGGGCCAGACAATATCCGGCAACCTTCGGCGATTGCTTGATATCTGCTAGAAGAGAGGTTTTGCCTTTCATAAGGGGAGGGTCGGATTCGATCTTCTCGACATGTTGGATGGTGGCCTTGCTTTCCACTTGTACCATTTCGTTCACTTTGCTCTGTATGTCCCATATGTTCTCAATGAGTGGAACACCTGTCGATCAATCAAGGATTAACAAAATGGTCTGTAACATGATTTATAAATGAGGGATAATGTACAGAGGGTTCAATGTACCTTCATTCACTACTTGAATACCTATATTCTGGGGTACATCCGCAGCCGTATTTAATAGAAAAGATGATTGCTCGGGCTTATGTTCAACAGAGACTCGCACCCTCACTTAACCTCATGATATATGTGAATGTGATTTGAATTCTAACCGAGGTGGTCTTGCATGATGATTGAAATCTAAATAAAACATGCAGCAAATTAGAGTCTCTAAACCTTCTGCAAGAAGGTCACAGCAATGCGGGGTTAGGCACAGCCAAGGGTTAGTATATTTCATTGGTGAGGGGCATAGTGCAAGGGGCTTTCTTTCTTTCTTTCTTTCTGTCTTGTTGGCAATAAATGTAGAGTGAGCAGGTGGGAAGAGTCCGGTCTAGAGTATTGGATTGCGGTGCGGTGTTTTCTGTCATGCACTTATTTGTGTACGGTTTGTCTTTTATGTAGTGTACCTTGTCTAGTAGGATGCTTGCCAAACAATGCTCTGTACGACCTTCAAAATATAGAAAGTCATCTGCTAGTTAAGTTGCAACGAAACCATGCCTTAGAACACTTTTACTCATTTGGCATTGTGGCTAAGCAGTGTGGTCCTACTGAATTGCCGTATATCTAGGTGGACCTCCTAAATAATAGGTAGTTCCGTATACTGCTTGAAATTGCCACGGACACCTTTTTAGATCCCACACAGGTATAGTGCGGCATAGAGCTTAAGGACGTTGTCAAGTTAAGGGCTTAGAAATGGACTGATCTTGTTATCTAGCCATGTGTTACAGAGCTCAACTCGCGCTCTTGGATGTGACTACCTCTCTAGAGTGAGTGTATATGTAAGCACTTAGTCTTTCATGGCAACCGTGTGTAACTCACACCCTCGCATTAATCCACAGGCCAAGAAATTGACAAGGAGTAAGCTGGGCTGGTTGCAATAGTTCGTTCAACGTTATCAACTACTCTCCCGGTCGATGTTATGGTTTCTTATTGTTCTTGAAGAATGGAACACTATATATCCACACCGGTACGTACCTCTAATCTCTTGGCCGCGTGTCAGTTTGTGGAGATCGATATGAAAGAATAGATTCCTCTAAGATCTCTAGTAGGTTGGGCAGCCCTCAATAAAAGCTTATGCTTTAAATGAGATATATCACCTAAAACATGAGTCATGGCTTTTGATATCCCTCTCCATAGTCCATACACACTGCTCCCTCTGGTGGAGACTTGACAGGTACTATATATGTTACAATCTGTCAGCACATCTGCCGTTCGACCGAACACACCAATTGGCGATTGGCCTAGCCTAAAAGAAAATTATAGATATCCAACACTGTGAAACAGCCTAGTGATTTTGGGGTTATGAATTCGGTATACTGATCTTTGGGGCAAGATTGTATCTTGTGATTGTTTTAAGTATGGATAGTTTGCCGCGTAGGCGACATGGGGATATCTGAGGAGTGGTCAAGGCCCTGAGCATGGACACAAAGGATATACTCGACTTCTCGGCAGTTCTTCGACCAGAATGAGTCAGGTATCGTCGCATCGTCAGGGTAGCATACCTACTCGGATTTAACCAGGTGAGCAGGTCATGAACGGAACAAACATCTACTTTTTTGCCCCATTCCACTCAATTCCTGGAATCCTCCCCGATTAAAGTTGTGAGACGTAATAACTTTGATTGATAGAAAGAGAAACTTGTTGCGAGCAATGATCGCCTGCATGTGATCTGTCATACCCTAGGCATTTGGCTACCCAGCCGACTATCGACGACTACTGCGTATTGGCATTGGGATCACCCCCAAATCCCTTCGGTATGTATCCGACACGACAGTCGGGGATATTGTTGTATTTGCCGAAGCGACCAACCGCGGAAATAGATCTGCTGTTGGGGTTGGCTAACAGTTAGCCTGGAGACACTATCGTACTCCGGTGATGGAATGCTGGGTTCAACAGGTGCAGATCATGTCCGTAGAGAGTTATATTTATGCCCAAAAGACAGGTGAAGCGGGAGGGAGACGGGTTATATAAATTTATCCCCGTCTTAAGTGTCAACTTTAACATGGTGGTCCGCTGGCCGTGTACTCTGTTCATGCACCTGCACTAATTAGTCGACCGCTAAGGAGTCTCTATCCTTCTAAATATGCTAGCCAAAGCGCCAAGAATAGGGACATAGCCACTATTTACCGAAAGGATCAATACACTTGCCTCCTTTTTTGTTCCAGACGGGGGCAGACTTGGAAATCCTGAAAATTGTCATCGACGCTCTTCTTCAACTCTCAGACTCAGAGACCAGCCAAGCTAGACTATAAACACAACACGAAGTTTTCAAGCGGATCCAATTTCCGAGATCCATGGTTGAGCCTGCCAGGTGGTTTATCCCTGACAACAACGACCCACACGTGTGCCGTTCGCTCGGATAGATGGTTGGAAATGCCGAACAAGAATAGGGTTGATGAAGGAAAACGATGGGCTTGTATGCAGATTCGCAGAAACTGTTAAGGTTTTTTTAATCTACGCTCCGATATCCATGCCCTTATTTCCAATAGTTCCATGGATCTATACAGATATAGTCATGCGACCTGCCAATCCTCCCCGCCATCGTACTTTGGGATTTCTTCCCCCCCCGTTTCTTGGATCTGGGCTTGGAACTGCGGTGCTTACTACCGTTTCAGTGGTTAATTCCCGTCCAAGTGGATCACGGCTTGAGACAAGAAGTCGCTTCCTCCCCGGCGAAGATCGCTCGACGCTGAACAGGGAAATTCGTAGTCATTTCACTGTGACAGTGCGTATGCATTGATAAACTGCCGTGACGAACTCCTGCGACTCATAGATTAATCAAATCAAATCAAATTAAATCCACGGGGTTCCTCGGTCCCTACTATCCATAATACTAGCAGGCTACTCTGTCCAAGGGCCAAGCGAGATAACTCCAGCGCCTCTAATGCGCCTAATCTAGTCTACCCTCTAGACTCCTTGATTCGTTGACATGCCTCCTCGCGCTTGGTGCTCTTCAGCCGTTCGCCACTTGATGCTGCCGATCGGCTTCTTGTTTTGCTATAGCCGAAAAACTACTGGAATGCCCCATATTTTTTTATGGCTTTTTTGCACTTTTCCTCCTTGTCCCCTCTTTTTCCCCTTTGCAGCAACCAGTCTAGACTAGGCTAGTTGTTTGAAATGGGAAAGCCAACGCCGAGCCCTAATCCGTCTCCAGATCTCGAAGGAATGACAATGTAATATATACAGAGTCTGTCGTCCCCACAACACTCTACTGGCCATGTCCCGTCCTCATTATCGACATGGACCATGCGGAGGACCGCAGCGTCGAAGTTAGGGCGGTGGCCGCCGCCTTCATGTCGGTGGCTGTTGTTACGGTGATCCTGCGATGCTATGTTCGCGGACGCTTAGTGAAGGCGTTCGGCTGGGATGACACAGCAATGGTGATTGCTTTGGTTGGTTACACCGAAAACCCCCCTCCCCCCAATCAAGTAGTTCGCTGACAGCGCAATCCCCAATATTAGTTATTCTACGTGATGTTCTCCGCTTGTATGATCGGAGGCAGTTTATGGGGTACCGGGCGCAAATACAAAGATCTCACGGCGAAGCAACGTGTGACGGCGATGAGGGTATAGCGAACCACCCTCCCCCCCCTTTCCCCCCGGGGGAAAAATTACCCCCCATCGAAGACTGGAAACTAACAGGTGAATGAATGGAAAGTACTGGTGGCTGTGTGAAATCGCCTACTGTTTCGCTTCTGTCGGCGGCAAAATCTCCATCTGTATCTTCCTGATGCGCATCACGGTTAAACGGCTGCATATTTGGCTCCTCTACATCGTTATGCTTTTGACCGTTATCGCCGGTGTCGTCTTCATGTTCCTCATGCTACTGCAGTGCAAGCCGCTGTCGTATTTCTGGACGAAGGTGGCCTTCGACGACCACATCCAGGGCCATTGTCTCGATATGAAAATTATCATTGCCATGACGTACGTGTATAGTGCGTTTGCGGCGATATGCGATTTCACCGTAGGCATTTTGCCGATATTCCTCGTCAAGAACCTGCACATGAAGAAACAGACCAAGATAGCCGTTATAGGCATTTTGAGCATGGCTTGCATGTAGGTGATATACATTGACTTTCGTTCTTCCCGAACTGACTCAGGCGTCACGCAGTGCTTCTTCGGCGGTTATTATCCGGATTCCGTTCGTGCATACGTTCGCTGATCCGGACTTTCTGTGTACGTTTCTTCACCGAGTGCCGATGGTATACGTGGAAAAAGGAGGATTGCAAAACTAACATGTGAATCGTACCAGACGCAACGGTCGAGATCGCCATCTGGTCGAATATCGAAGTCGGTTTGGGTATCACGGCCGGAAGTCTCGCGACCCTTCGTCCTCTCGTTCGACACTGGCTAGGCTCACGTACCGATCCGACCTATCCCTCTCCCTTTCCCGGTCGGTCCGGGTCTCGGCTTCCCGGGGGTGCGAGTCGAGATCGGCCCTTTCCGCTTGGGTCGCTGGACGATAACGTCAATAACCGGCTGCGGCCGGATAAGTTGGCCATAACGGTGACGACGGTGCATAGTCAGGACCAGAATGGGACGTGGCATGGGGCGTCGAGTTCGAATAGTAGCGAGGAACGGCTGACGGCGCAGGGGTCGCCAGCGTTGCCGGCTATCGGGGGCGAAATGGGACTGGGTATTCATCGGACGTTTGAGGTCACGCAGACGAGTACGTCTGGACAGTCTGAGACTGTTAGGGAGCATTTATAGAATACTTATTAATCTTTCCTCTGTTTTTTCTTTGTCAATTTTTTTTGGCTTGTTTATTAGATTTTAGCTCTGTATGATATGATAGATGAATGTTAACTGAACGAAAGAAGAAAAATTTTACTCTGGATTGAGTGTCTATCTATGAGTGGAGGTATTCGTTAACAACCTCAGTGAAGGCCGCCGGTTGCTCAGTCATGGGCAGATGTCCTGCCTTGGGAATCAATTTTAGCTCAGCGCCACCCTTCAGATCGTTGGCCATCTGCTGCATTGTCTTGGGTAGTACACCATCGCCCTCGCCGGCGACGAACAGTCCAGGAACCTGCGCGCGAGCCATGCGGTCCCGGACATCATATGCGCAGAGCGCCTGCACGCCCTTGCGGAACCCGTCCAGACTATTGTTGCGCACGATCTCCTTGACCTTGGCGGGAACCTCCGGCTGCGTCTCGTACGATTCAGGTACAAACCACCGACGCGTGGTCGCTTCGGACAGCTGCTCGCCAATAATCGGTTCCTGGGTGGTGGGGAAGACTGCGCCGTCGCTCTCGGCCAGGGCGACACGGTCGTTCCAGGCCTTGCGGTTGGATTCGGGGGCCGAGCTGTTTGTGTCGCAGGCGATGAAGCGTGTCACACGGTCCGGATATAATAGCGAGGTGTTGAGCACGGTCACGCCACCCAGGCTTACACCAATCAGAGTCGCCTTGGGGATGCGCAAAGCATCAAGGAGTGCGACGATGTCTGACGCCAGAAGATCGATGTTGACGGACTTTTCCCCGCATTCCCGGAGACGGCCGCGGGTCAGATACCGGAGGATCCGGAAATGCTGGTTTTTAGGGTTGGAAATGAATGCATCCACGAAGTCGTCCCAGACGGTATAGTCGACCAGGATGGAATTGCTAAGAACGATGACAGGGCTGTGGGGATCGGTGCTGCCCTCTAGGCGGTATGGGAGGTCTACGCCATCGGGGGTAGTGACAAAGGACTCAACTGCCGGCCGGGCGGGCGAAGGGAACGTTCTGGTGCGACCGTCGTTTGAAGCCCAGGGCCCCACAACATCCTTGGACGCTAAGGACGACAACTCGCGTGGAGCCGGGCCAAAGGTGTAGGCCCACTGATACACGCGCCTCTTCTTGTCTCTGACAGTCTCGCTCATGATGCGGTTATGCCACGGGGTGTCCATGGCGGCCTTGTGTTCGGGGCCCTCCAAGCTATTTTTCGCGCTGTACTCGTGCAGGGCCAGGAATTCCCGGGGTGCCTTGGGATCGATCGACGATGTGATGAAGCGGCGGCTACGACGCCAGCCCGGCACGCGTGCCAGCATGGGGATGTGTTCCTCACGGTACCAGCGGTTTAGGTCCTCTTCCTTGGTTGCGTCGGCGGGAACAGTGAGCAAGACGGAGACGAGTACGGAGCCGGCAGCTTCGGTGTCGGGTATTTCCTCGAGTGGTGTATAAGCTGAGGATTTCTGATCATCAATAAGGTCATAAAGACGGCGATCGACGGCAATCTGGGCCATGGTGGCCTTTTCGCGCGGGGTCTTCACACCATCTCCGCGGAGAGCCAAGTACGTCTCGCGCGTCAACTCCACCATGTCAGTGATGTCGTACGGAGCCAGCCACTCGGGCTCGATGCCGTCGACGGCACGATAGCGGAAGCCATTCGTGACGAAGGGTAGACGGAGACGTAACGGACCGTGCTCGGTGTTGTACCAGTCGTGGAACTGGGCCGGGGGGAGGGAATCGCGGGGTTGCATGGTCACGTAGAGAAGACCGGGCGTCGCCATGGTGATATTTGTTGCTATGACTCTGGATAGTCGTTCAATTTAATCTAAGTCGAGTGTATAAAAGGTTGGTCGGGGATGGGGGGAAGGGGAAATATGATTATGTACCCTTCATCCCCGGCTCAGGTCGAGGCCGATTGACTGCCGAACATACAGCCGAACTTGAAGTCATCGGGAAAGAGGCGATCAATTCAAAGCCGGATATTTTATCCTTGTTTCTCCTGGAAACAGAAAGCATATGTATGTCAAGTCATGATGCCGCTCATTGAGTGAGGTGAAAGAGAAGAGAAGAAGAAGAAGGAAGGAAGGAGAAGGGAGAAGGTGTGTCAATACAGATAGATAATAATGAAAAAGGATCTCATTGAGGGTATCATCAGGTGATCTCCATCTGATAACAGTTTTGTACGCAGGAGGCACGTGATCACCCACTACACTATTCATCCTGCAGATCCTATTGGATAGTAATGATATGTATATTCACGACTATTAATGTACTTGGAGAGGTGCCCAATTTACCACAAATAAGAATATATATCTCTAGTATTTATAACGTAGCAGAATTCCGAATCGGAAAGTTAAGTTAAGTTCTATCTCCCTATTTCAAAATTCTAATTTCTACTAGACGGGATTTCTTACATGGTAGGTGCTCCAAGATGGAGAGATTCTCTAAGGTTACTATATTAAATGTAGAGTGTATTGTAGCTATATATATATATATATATACTGTACGGTAACCATTCGGCGTCGATATCAGTCCTATTGTATACCGTTTATAACTTTGTATACACCAACAAAGGTGTAAGGAATGGGGTGGCTCTGGTGACATATACATAGCCTTTCCTTCTTCCTTTTAACTGACTTGGCAACAGTCCTCAAATGGCCAACCGCACGGGTTTCGCCTTCCTTTATTTGTCGTAGAGGAATGCCGATGTCTACCTTAATTCTCTATATATGTGGCGGTTACCTTTGCCATGTCTAGCCCCGTTAATCCTGCCATCCGCCTTGATGATGAAGTGAGGATTAGCTGGCTAAGTTTGAGATGGCCTCTTCGGTGTTCCACTTTACGTTGTTGAATATCGATCGGATGTCTACTAAAATCTTAAGACCCACTCTCTGTTATAGGTTTCCATTCTACGCTCGTACTGTCACATGGGGTTGCTGATTGCTATAGGAACATGATCGGCACCCAAAGAAGCCAGCGGAGGTTGGAATGATTTACCGTCCGCATTTCTGATTAGATGATCAGCAATCTTGGGAAGCTGACAAAACGCACCATAGTAATCAATATTCATATGCAGAGACCAGTTTGTAAGCGGGAATGGAGGTACTTAGAAATCAAAGACACAGCTCGGCTTTCTATAACGTTCTAGCCATTTCGTGCCTAAGGAATAAACTACGCCTGAGCTATGGCCGAGCGGAAGACACTACTTAGGGATAATTAGACCTATATACACATGACGAGGAAGCAAGGTGCTGAGAATGGCACCACCCTCTACTTTAAAAATCCAGTCATACCCACAGAATGCAACAAGAATGTCTGCTTCCAAACTCCTCATCAAGGCCGGTATCACAGGGAAACAAGAATTCTCTGTCGCGAACTCCTTCCTCAACCTCCCTGACGGGCAAATTCGTGGCATCACCCGCAACCCATCTGCAGTCGCCGCCCAAGAATGGATCTCCAAGGGAGTCCAGCTTGTGAAGGCCAGCCTTGATGATATTGCCTCCCTCCCTCGAGCTTGCCTTCCACGGAGCCTCCGCCATTTTCGCCGTTACTGACTTCTGGGCTCATTTCTTGAACCCGGAGAACGAACGCTTCCAAGGGGCCAGCAAGCCGGCCTATCTATTAACGAATATCCCTGAAACATGAGACCTCCCAAAAAATGAACATGGCACTTGCCGCCAGCTCCCCTTCCGTCCTCCCAACGCTCACGCACTCTATCTTCAGCAGCCTTAACGACACCAAGCGAAGGCCTCACGGAAAGGACACATGAAACTTCCACTTCGATGGCGAGGCGGCATTACTGGAGCGCATTCGGGACGAGCTCCCCGACCTCGCCGCCAAGTTGAGTGCCGTTCAGATGGCCATGTATGCGACAACTGGAAGTCGGGGATCGGACGGCCTGAGAAACAGGGGGACGGTTCGTTTCTCGTGCGCATCCCTGAAGAGCGAGGTCAACCGTTGCCGTGGGTCGTGACGAAAGGCGATAACGGCATCTTCGTGAAAATTTTATTGAAGCAGGATCCGGGCAAGCATGTTTTAGGGTTTTCGTAGATGGCGATATGGCGCGAGTTTGGTCGCTCTGGGCGGAGATCCAGGGTGTAAGAATTGAAATCAAGGAGGGAGCGCTTGATGAGTACTTCGCGCCGGTGCCGGAGGCGGCAAGAAAGGAGTTTCACGATTCGTTGATGTATATCGTGGAATTTGGATAATCTGGTGGAAATCCTGAGGTTTGCATGTTGGATGGTTTGGCGCCGGAAGCTAAGATGACGAGTCTAAGGGAGTATCGAAACCGAGGACTGGTAATCTTTTCGCGAGTAGATTGTACATAGGTTGGAGGTTCATGACTGCTCGGTATCATCTAATAAACGTAATTACCATAATTACCTGTGGCAGCGATTGGATGCTTGGGGTTATTAGGTGGCCGGGACGGCCAAACTAACTATTGATGGCTAAGCGAGGTCGGCCTAGGGCAGGCAGCGCAGTCTGCATGCCCTGACAGGAAGAAAGGTGCCCTCCTCTCGTAATATGTTTACCTGATCTAGTATCATGGCCTTCCCAGAAGCCATGTTCACCCCAAAGCTTTGTTTTTTTACCAGAAGTGTGAAATAATTTCCTGAATCCTGCTCAAGCACTAATAAAAAAGCATCCTCACGCCGCCTCACCTTTTCAGAGCCCGCGCGAGATTGTTATTATGATGCTGTACTTTTAGGAAGTGACAGGGCCCTCACACATGATAAAGCGGGGTTATACACGTAGAATCACAGTCATAAGTCATAGTGTGTGTGCTCTTCTGACACCCCCAAAACATATACCCAGGTTGTACATTCAAACCTGTTACAAACACAGAATTTAGAAGTTCTTAGACAGATCATCATATACAATGCTCCAATACAAATATTCTCCTCTTCCGGCAGGGCCCAGTATTATCCGAGTGCTTCGCCTACTGCCAAATGAAGACAGCACCATTCCAATCAAGTGTCAGCTCATCAGCTACTCCCTACCAACAACAGGCAAGGGACATCACCTATATGAGGCGTTATCTTATGTATGGGGCAGTGAGAGCAAACCTCAGTGTATCTTTATAGATGGCTGTGCTTTACCTGTTACAGACAACCTCTATACAGCACTGTTACATCTTCGAGATTATCAGCTTCCACGTATACTGTGGGTAGATGCAGTTTGTATCAACCAGCAAGATGACCAAGAAAAAGCTAGTCAGATTCAACTTATGCCCATAATATATGGTCAAGCCAGCCATGTGATTGTCTGGCTTGGGGCAGCAGCAGATAATAGTGATAGAGCACTTGAAAATATCCGTCTTTCTGCAGAGTATAAGCCTTCCGAAGACAAGGCTACAATCATGCAGGAAAAGAAAACAGATTATACTGCTATTTTAATGCTACTGCAAAGACCGTGGTTTCGGAGAATTTGGGTAAGAAATATTTCGCAATTTCTATAGAATTTACTAAATAATTTGTACAGGTACTCCAAGAGGTTAGTGCTGCACGATCTATTCTAGTTATGTGTGGCTCTATCAAGATGAATGGGTATACCTTTTCTTCAGGTTTAAAGGGATTGAATCTTTTGTATAAGATTGATCCAGGCCTAGAAAGTCTGATTCGCTCAATAACCTATCTTATAAGAGGGGCAATCTTCCGACCTGAATATATGACATATCCACGTGGAACACTGTCTTTAGGTGAACTTATTGATATGTATCACACCCGTGAAGCTACCAAGAAACATGATAAGGTGTATGCATTGCTTGGCATGAGCTCTGATGTCCCTAAAGAAGCTGGTCTACTACCTAACTATGAGCTTCCATGGAATATACTATTCCATCGGGTTATTGTATCTATTCTCCCGGAAATTCATTCTGTGGAGACTTGGCCTAACAAGGAGATAGCTGTGATTAAGGTTAGGGGATATATATTGGGTCGAATCAATTCAGTGGAAGGTGACAGTTCCCGCTATGATAGACAATGTGTGCAGATCTCCTTCAATACTGCGCCGAGGTCACTAAGCTATGAGAGTGAATGGGGTACTCAATGGACTCTTCAAGCTTCAGCAAAGTCCATTCAGGAAGGTGACATTGTCTGTCTCTTTCAGGGAGCTTCAGAGCCAAGTATCATTGGAATGTGTGAAGACTATTTTACCATTAAAATGATCAGTGCGACTCCTCAGCAGAATAAAGAAGAAGGAAATGTTGACCAACGGTCCCAGAAATCTCTGTATACAAAAGAGAGTATACTCCGGGATATACTCCTTATTTGGAACTGGGAAATATCCCGGGCGAATTCAGAGAAAGAGGACAAATCAGAAATCCCGATAAAATTCAAGGACGCAGCGCCAGACTCGGAGATAGATTTGGATAACAAAGAACTAAGCGACTTTGCGCTTATTATTGAAGATATTATCATGATAGCGATGAAGTCAGGGAGCAATGGGAACCAAATGATGGAACGTCTACTTGATAAAAGTGGGTCAAAGCTCCCAGTTAGCGAAACTGTGGTCAAAATGGTGGCGGGGAATGCTGAATGGGGAGGTCAGATTATGGAGCTGCTACTTCAACAAAGAGGTGAGAGCCTACCAATCTCAGAAGAAGTAGTTAAAATAGCCGCCGGGAATCCTGTATGTGGGGCTGAGGTCATAGAACTGCTACTTCAACACAGAGGCGAGAGTCTACCAATCTCGGAAGAGATAGTTAAAATAGCCGCCGAGAATCCTGTATGTGGGACAGAGGTCATAGAGCTTCTATTTCAACAAAGAGGCGAGAGCCTACTGATCTCAGAAAAAGTGGTTAGAACAGCAGCTGGTATATGGGGAGGTGAGACCATGAAGCTGCTGCTTCAACACAGAGGCGAGAGCCTACCAGTCTCAGAAGAAGTGGTTGAAATAGCAGCCGGGAATGCTGAATGGGGAGGTTGGATCATAGAGCTACTACTTCAACTAAGAGGCGAGAGCCTACCAATCTCTGAAGAAGTGGTCAAAATAGCAGCCGGGAATACTGAATGGGGAGGTTGGATTATGAAGCTGCTACTTCAACTAAGAGGCGAGAGCCTACGGATCCCAGTAGAAGTGGTGAAAATAGCAGCCGGGAATCCTAGATGGGGTGGTGAGATCATAGAGCTACTACTTCAACAAAGAGGCGAGAGCCTACCAATCTCTGAAGAAGTGGT